ATCTGAATTTGTATTCATTTCACTTTCATTTTTGAAGAATATTTTTCCTGAATATGACATTTTTCTTGTCAGGCTTTGTGTTTTTTTCCTTTCAGCTCTTTTAAAAGATTTCATTCCACTATCTTCTGGCCTTCATATTTTCTGAGGAGAAGTCAGAATTCAGCATAGTGTTCCTGTGAAAGTAATATGTCATTTTTCTCTAGCTGCTTTGAGTACTTTTTCCTTATTTTTAGTTTTCAGCAGTTCAGCTGTGATTTATGCCTGTGTGTGGCTTTCTTTGTATTTGATGTAATTGATGTTTACTAACCTTCTTGAATCTATAAATTTTTGTACTTTACCAAATTTGGGAAACTATTTTCAATTGTTTTTTCTGCCTCATTGCCTTTTTTTTCTTGGAGCTCTGGTTGCGTGCCTTTGGGTATCGTTCCAGGAACTCTTTTGTCCCCCCTGAATCTTTTTTCTCTTTGTGCTTTAGATAAGATCTTTTTCATGTTGAATTACTCATTTTGCCATCTTCAATCTGTCATTAAGTACATCAGTAAATATTTATTTTGGACATTTTTCAGCACCAGAATGTCTCACTTTGTTCTTGTCTTAGTTCATTCAGACTGCTATAACAGAATAACTTAGACTGGATAATTTATAAACAACATGAATTTATTGCTTACAATTCTGGAGTCCAGAAAGTCCAAGAACAAAGCTCCAGCAGATTCCATTTCTGGTGAGAATTTTGCTTCATAGTTGACACCTTTGTCAACTCATGAAGCAGAAGGGATAAAGAAGCTTTCTCAAGCCTGTTTTATAAGGGCAGTAATTCCATTCCTGAAGGTGGAGCCCTCCTGATCTAATAGTCCCCCCAAAGTCCCACTCATAGTACCACCACATTGGGGTAGGTTTTAACATAATTTTTGGGGACACAAACATTCAGATCATAGGGGTTATCTTTTATTGTTTCTTTTTCTTTGCTGAGATTTCTCATCTTTTCATTTAAAAACAAGCATATTTCTCCTTACATCTTCTGCATGTAACAGTAGCTGCTTTAAATTCCTTGTCTAATTCTAACATGTAGATTATTTCAGAGTTATTCCTTGTTGTTTGTCTTTTTTCTTAAACATGGATCATATTTTCCTGTTTCCTATCAAGTAACTTTAATTCTATCCTAGCACATTATGTATAAATGATTGATTTTTAAGCTTGAAATAGTAGCTGTTAGTAAATAATTCTTTTTAGTGAAATATTTTGTCATTGTCTGTGCTGATTATTGTTTCTTTGCCCATATCTTTTTTCTGTTTTCACTTGTCTCTCAGCTAAAGTATATCCTCATATAATTCTTTTGTAAGAGTCTGTGGATAGTAAACTATTTGCTTTTATGCATCTTAAAATGTCTTACCCTCATTCTTGCTGCTTTACCTGGGAGTTAAGTTCTAGGTTGATAGTTCTTTACTTCACACAAATTGTGCCATTGTTTTGTGTCATCAGTTGTTGCTAGGGAGAAGTCTGCTGTCAGTCTAGTTGTCATTCCTTGATAGGTAGTCTGCCTTTTATCTGGTAGCTTTTAAAATTATGCCTGTCATTTATATTCTACAGTGTCTTAAATATGACTTGAGTTTTTCTCTTTCTCAGTATCCAACGTGCCTTTTCTTTTTCTTTCTTTCTTTTTTTTATTTTTTATTTTTTGAGTTGAAGTCTCACTCTGTCACCCAGGCTGGAGTGCAGTGGCACAGTCATGGCTCACCACAGCCTCAAACTCCAGGGCTCAGGCAGTCCTTCTACTTCAGACTCCCAAATAGCTAGGACTACAACAGATGCATGCCACCATGACTGACTAATTGTGTGTGTGTGTGTGTGTGTGTGTGTGTGTGTGAAAACAAGGTCTTGCTATGTTTCCCAGACCAGTCTTATACTTCTGAACTCAAGCAATCCCCCTGCCTTGGCCTCCTGAAGCACTGATATTACAGGTGTAAGCCACTGTGCCCAGCCCAGTGTGCATTTTCAGCTAAACAACATATTTTTTAATTCTGGTAAATTATTAACTAAATTATCTCAGCAAATACTGGTCTACGACTGTCCTTATTTCTTAGTGTTTATGATTCCTTTTTTCTCTTTGGTATATTCATGAATATATTTAAAAATCATACTGTCCATTGAGTGATACCATCTGCAGTGAATTCATATTCCGATTGTTTATTTTATTGGACTTATATTTTAGTATTTTGGCTTTGCAGCCTCATTTTGATTGGGCAGTTTAACATTTTCATTTTCAAGTTTAACATTTTTCTTTATTTTGTTTCTTTTTCTATGCTTATTTTCTTTCTTATAGTTTGTACTTGCTTTTTAACTCATTGGCCTTCAATCCAAAAACCAAATTTGTAGTACTAGAGTTTCCTGGTTCTTGCTTACTTCAGAATAATAATTGAGAGTATTGTAGATTTTGCCATTGATTCATTATCTGGTTTGGATCCTGGTCAAGAGGCTTCTAATTCTACTCTCTCTTTCCCTTTAACTAGTCCACAATGTCAAATAAGCTCTAGCTCAGACAGCAGGTGGTATCAGTATATTCTTAGCATACTTTAAAGAGGAGAAGTCTACTCCAGCCTTTGCGTATGCCAGCATTTTGCTTTAAGCAGTAAGCAAAATGTTCCTCTTGTGGAACATTAGTCCTTGTTTCCCCAAAGATGGGGGACCTTCTAGTCTCTAATGAGCGCTCACAGACCCAGAACTTTGCGAGTACATAGCTACGTCTCTGCAGCTTTGTGTTTGTTCTCCTCAAAGATTGTCTTGTGACCTACTAAGAATTGTTTATAATACTTGTATTCTATGTTATATTTGTAACAAAGGCGCTGAATCAAAATACAAACTTAATGAGTCTTCTTAGTAGACATCTAAATGTTTTTTCTTAATGTTTTGTTGTTCTTGTGTCACTCAACATGTGTTCTTATCAGTAATATTGCTCATGTGACTAGGTAACTGAGTTTTAATGTCTAGTAGAGAAAATCATTTTTATTTTTAAAACTTTGTCTTTTCTTAGTCAAAATTTTATACTTCTGTATAAACTTAAAATCATTTTGCTTAGTTTAGAAAATGTGACTGTACTGCATCTTGAAACGTGTATGTGTGTGTGTATATGTATGTGTATATATATATATATAATTTTTTTTAAGTAGGAGTCTCACTGTGTCACCCAGGTTGGAGTGCATTGGGACTTTCATGGTCACTGCAGCATCGACCTGCTGGGCTCAGGTGATCCTTCTGCCTCAGCCTTCCAAGTAGCTGGAACTACAGGCATGTGCCACCATGCCCAGCTAATTTTTTTGATTTATTATAGAAATGAGGTCTTGCCAAGTTGCCCAGGCTGGTCTCAAACCCATGGGCTCAGGCATTCCCTCTCATCTCGGCCTCCCAAAGTGCTGGGATTATAGGCGTGAGCCACTGTGCCCAGCTTCACATATATATATTATTTTAGAAAGATTGCCATTTGCTGTAAAGTTATCCAGCTGTATACTGTATCTGTTTATTTACAGCTTTTAATGTATTGTTTTTGAACTTTACTTGAGAACTTTGTTTTTATTATTTTTATAGTAATTGTGACTGATATAAAATACACACCACCTTCTTTCTCTAGCTGGCTATTACTAGAAGAACTATTACAATTTTTTATATATATACACATACTTTACTAAAATACCTAATTAATTATAAAACCTTTTGGTAAATTCTGTAGTTTCCATGTGTATAATCAACTCCAAATAAAGGTAATGTTATATCTTCTAATGTTTATACTAGTCATTTAATTTTCTTATTTTATTAAATTTTCTAAAGCCCCTAAAACAGTATTTAACAATTATAGGTATCTCTTTGTTCTTGATTTTAATGGAAATGACTTCAGTGTTTCACTGTTGAATATCTTGCTTTCTGTATTTGGAAAAAAGTGTCATATTTAAGTAATTTCCTTTATTCTTATTTTACTGGAGTTTTTATTAGGAATGATAGCTGAACTTTATTAAATGCCATTTTATTTTGTATTTATTTATTTTTTTCACTCTGTTGCCCAGGCTGGAGTACAGTGATGCAATCCCAGCTCACTGCAGCCTTGACCTCCTGGGCTCAAATGATCCTTCTACCTCAACTTCCCGAGTAGCTGGGACTGTAGGCACATGCTTCCACACTTGACTAATTTTCTTGACCTATCTTTATCAATTTTTATTATTGGTGTTTTATAAGCATTTGAAAATTCGTTGGATACCATAATAATTATCTTCCCTTATATATTTCTTTGGTGGAGATTATTTTGTTCTTATTTATAAACTGCTATATTAAGCATTCTCTGTTTAGGTAGATTTTTGTCAACTTGCCCAGTTTTAGACAACCAGTATATAGAATGTGTACGCTAAAAAATATGTACCTTAGGGTAATCTTAAGTATTTTAGATGTTTTTTATAAGTTTGATATTTTTTTCGATTGTGAATCTGTTTCCTTTTTTCATTCCTCCCTCCCTCTCTTTCTTCTGTCTCTCCATCTGTCTATTTTTCCTTCTGTCCTCCTTTCTGTCATTCCTTCCATCCTTTCTTCTGTCCATCCATCTATCCGTCTGTCTAAATTTTAAATGTATGCTTTGGGAAACATATTTGTTATTTCTTATTTAGAATTTTTTCTTCCACAAATCCCTGTATACTTTTTTTGTGAGAAATCTTAATACTAATATATATCTGTACATACATTGGAAAGATTTCTTTAAAGATGTCAATAGAGTGCATAGGTATGTGCTAATACTTTAGATATATTTGTGAATGATTAGCATAGTACTTTACTGTGAATCTGGGTTGTATTAGTGCTTAATATTGCCCTTCATTGTTATGTAATGAATTGTAATAACATTTTTGTAGCTACTCTAGAAATTTCAGCTTGAACTTGGTTCTGATATTGTTTGAGAGTGTTTGGTAATTTATATATACATGACTATAATACCTTGCTTTTTTTCTTCTTCTTCTTTTTCCCAACAGTTACATGGGAATTGGTCTTTCTGCTCAAGGTGTGAATATGAATAGACTACCAGGTACACTTGTAATTGAAATACAGTATTCTAGTCTTATGGCTAGCTTTTTCTAGTTAAATTTTTCAAGTAAAAAGGTAAAATAAAGATATTGGCTTTCTGTATCTTTAATCACCTATATCATGCGTCTTAAGTGGAAGCTGAATGGGTATAAAATTTTTCTTTATATTTTGTAGAGACTAGGTTGCCCAGGCTGGTCTCAAACTGGTTCAAATGATCCTCTTGCCTTGGCCTTCCCAAGTGTTGGGATTAGAGGCCTGAGCCTCTAAGTCAGGGCCTTAAGTGGTTTTTAGTAAATTTAAATTTTCTGCTATTTAGCAAAACATACATAGCATAGCATATCATAGGTTTTTTTCCCCTTGTTTTGTATTTTGATATGTTTAACTTTAAGTGCATAGTCATATCACCTACTTTAAATATTTTAATAAGTCTGTTTTTGCTGGCTACCTATCACATTTCTGGCTTTTAACTCATCTTCAGTTGTTTGATGTTCTGGGAATATAGACTAATATTAAAAGATAGCTAAGGAAGGCATGAATTGAGATGGTGGAACTGTTTTCTGATACCATTTATCAGAAGGAAATGATTATTGGATTAAGTTTTCTGGTATTCTGTTTCCTAATGTTAAAAATTAATTTTGAGGAAAATTTGTGAAATACATAACAAAACTGCCACTGTAAAACTATATGAAGTGCCTTAAAAGAAAGAAACAAACCAAGCCAATGTAATGGTCACATAAATGTAATCAGATATGTTAACTTGACATACTTTCATTGTACCTTTTTGCTTAAAATTATACTTGAGATAGGGTTTAAATGAGGTTTTTATTACTTGAAAACTTCTTATAGAGAGTAATTGATAAAGTAAAAATCTCAATAATAATATATATGTATCTGTGGTTTGGTATTGTGGAAAGACCACAAATAATTTGACCTTTATATTTGAATCACAGCCATGAAAAACTTGTGGCAATTGAATAGGATTTAATCTTCTGTTTGATGCAAACTGTGTGTGTGTGTGTGTGTGTGTGTGTGTGTGTGTGTGTGTGTGTGAAGGCAAAATTCCTTTGGTATATTACCAAAAGAAATATGCCTGGAAAATGTGTCCTGCTGTGGAAAATGGTGCATTTATGTTTTCTTTTTTTTATTTCTTGGTAGATGTTCTCTCGGTTTAATACTTGTTTCAGTGTTTTGGATAGCTAAGTTGTTTTCCTTAATGTTGTGAACAGTATTTTAGTATAGAATAAATTGTTCAGTGTAATTGTTAAGAATTTAAATATAAATTTGGGAATTTTACTATTGTAGGATCTGTTGTACTACTCTGACTTAAAATCTTAGTGAATTAATTTAGTATGGAGGAACTGTATGTTTCATTGTAAATATGCTGGAACTTTCTTTTTAGGTTGGGATAAACATTCATATGGTTACCATGGGGATGATGGACATTCATTCTGTTCTTCTGGAACTGGACAACCTTATGGACCAACTTTTACAACTGGTGATGTCATTGGCTGCTGTGTTAACCTTATCAACAATACCTGCTTTTATACCAAGAATGGACATAGTTTAGGTACTGAAGTAATATATTGCATGCAAAATAACCAAATATTGTGATTATTTTACTTCAAGGATGGTAGTCATATTTATTATGTGATTCTTCTTTATAGATAAATGCTTCTGGAAATGATTTCTTCCTTCTTCCCTGGTGGAAGTTGAGGAAATGGCGAAATTTTATATTCTGTAAAGGCCACCCATATGATACATATATGTATACTAATAACTATAGATACAGTCCTCATGCTGAAATAATTTATTTTAGTAAATAGAAATGCCAAGAGTTTACCTCTTTGCTTTGGATAAAACTCTTTGCAGCATGATCCAATTCTCTAGGTAACAAGTGCTAAGAAAAGGGGCAGTCAGTTCTTAGGATAACGTGGGGAATAGGAACAGAGAGGTAAAGTGTGCTACTACCAGTATATGAAGGGCATCGGCATACTGAACAGTCACACCTACTAACAGAAGTTGCTAAAGATGGAGACCATTAGTTCTTTCTGTGGAAGGGAGCTGAATTAAGCAAGCAAACAAACAGTAACAAAACTTCTAAGAATAAAAGACAGGTGACTAATGAGAAATTAATAAGTTATTGAAAACTTGAAACCCATACATTCTGAGACTAGTAGAATATTAAGATTTTTAGTTGAATATCCGCATCCGCATAGCACTTTGAATTTAAAATTGTGTGTGATTGTTATATTCCTTTTTCTTAGAAGTTTTTTAAAAAATTATAGTAAGTATGAAGGGTAGCAAGACATGCTTTGTTGTTTTTTTAAAAAAGTTTCACATTCTACTGTTGAAAAAGTCCTTAACTCGTAACAAATTATCTTTAATAGAGTAAAATGAAAGGAAGCATAAACTAAGTAACCCCAGAAGGCAGAAACTCCACTTTGCTTATAAATAGTACTTAAAAATTAGACTTCAAGTGCTATGCTTAGACATACAATAGATGTTTAATATAACACAAAAACTGTTTTACCTGTCATTTCATATTAAAAACTTCTAAATTTCTGGCTACATTGGTAATAGTTAACTGTTTTTTGTGGGATTTTTTTTTTGAGTTGGAGTCTCACTCTGTTGCCCAGACTGGAGTGCAACCTCGACTTGCTGGGCTCCGGCGATCCTTCTGCCTCAGCCTTCCAAATAGCTGGAACTGCAGGCGCGCCCTACCATGCCCAGCTAATTTTTTGATTTATTGTAGAGATGAGGTCTCGCCAATTTGCCCAGGCGGGTCTCGAACCCACGGGCTCAGGCAATGCACTCACCTCAGCCTCCCAAAGCGCGGGATTACAGGCTGAGCCACCGAGCCCGGCTAGTTAACTATTTTTAACTATGTCTATTTTTAACTATTTTTAACTATGTCTTACATAAAGTTAATTCTTTTTATATTGATATTCAGTTTAACATTTTTACTTCTGATTTTTTAAATTCTGAATTCCGTGTTATCTGACTTGTTTTTCTCAAGTCCACAAAAGATTTTTTTGTTTTCATTATTACAATAACGTTCAGGACCCCATGCAAATTGTGTCTGTTTGTATATGATTTAATTGTTGTGGCCACCTCATTTCCAAGAAAGATAGATACAGCCTCTTGAGTTTATTTGTTGTTACTATTCTGTCTCAGGCTTGTCAAGACAGTTAACTGATAGCATCTTAGTTGACTGCTTGTGATATTTAAAGTCTTACACCAGGAGAAATCTGTTTTTTGTTTTGTTTTGTTTTTCTTTTTTAAGTTGGAGTCTCACTCTTGTCACCCAGGCTGGAGTGCAGTGACACACACTCATGGCCACCGCAGCCTCGACCTGTTGGGCTCAGGCGATCCTTCTGCCTCAGCCTTCCAAGTAGCTGGAACTACACATGCATGCCACCATGCCTAGCTAGTTTTTTTTTTGTGATTTATTGTGGAGACGAGGTCTTCCCTAGTTGCCCAGGCTGGTCTTGAACCCCCAGGCTCAGGCAGTCTTCTCACCTTGGCCTCCCAAAGTGCTGGGATTACAGGCTGAGCAACCTTATTTATTTATTTGAGTTAGGGTCTTACTCTGTCACCTAGATTGGAAAACGGTGGCACGATCATGGCCACTGCAGCCTTGACCTCCTGGGCTTAAGCAATCCTCCTGCCTTGGCCTCCCAAAGTGCTGGGATTACAGGAATGACCTACTGTGTTAGGCCAAAAGAAGACATTTTTTAAAAATCACAGTCTTTTTACCATTAATTTTTTAAACTTTCCAGAGAAGAAATTTTATCTGGGGCGATGGGACAATCACAGGTGATGTATTTTGTTTTTTCCCTGTTATATTTTAATAATTTAAATTTAATTTTTCTCTTGGCTGAGAAGGCTATTTTTAAATTGTAAGATGGCTCTTTTTAAAAAGGGCACTGATGATGAAATCATATTTTAATTTTAGGTAAACTTGATTGTCATTATTCATTCATAAATTTAATAAATATTTGCGAAGCACGTAGAAAGAATGTATAACAGTGGTTAAGAGTTCTTTGGTTTGATTTGACTGGATATGACTTTTGGCTTATGTCATGTGACCTTATGCAAGTTAACATATCTGTGCCTCAGTTTTAAAACTAGAAACATTAAGGCTGTTAGAAAAACTAAAATATTGCATGTAAAGTTCTTAGCTCATTGCCTGGCATATAGTGAATTCTCACTAAATGTCATTCAGTATCACTGTTTGCCAGACTCTGGGCTATGTGCCTGGGATTCAGTGGTAAAACATTGAGGAGCATGTTGTGGTAGTTGTATTTGACAATATTAAAGACTTCATCTATAGAATTGATTTTGATTTTTGATTAGAATTTTTTGGTAAAGTGAAGATTTCAGTAATTACTAGCAAAAAGGATTTTTGCTAAAACAAAATATAGACAGTCTTTGTTATAAACAGACTTCTTTGAGAAAAATTGTTGATTAGCTTATATAAAAAATGATAAAAAGTGTAGTTGTAATTTATTTAAATATTTTCTTCTCTAGTTTTCTATATTCTTTTAATCAAATTTTCATATGTGTTTGGTTCACATTTTCTTTGCCTTCTGTGTTATTCAAGAAACTAAATGCATTTGAAATGTTTTACGTGTGGAACACAAGGATCCTCCAGCTTTGCTTTGTTTTTGACAAGCCAACATGAATTTAGTCGGTTTTTTTTGACTAGAAAATATAGTTTATTTAGAAATTAGATTAAAGAGAGAGAGGGAGAGGGGATTCACATCCCTAAGGGAGGAGAGGGGCCCGAAGCTTAAGAAAACTTGGCCTGGCCATACCTCAGAGAGCACATGGCCACACTATTGCTTAGCAAAGCAGTGGCCACAATGACTGGCAATGGCAATGGCGACTCTACTAGTTTTTTTAAAGCCGCAAAAACAGGACTTTACTAACTACAAAGCATGATTTTTACACACTTATTTTTTAAAAATATGCACTATTTATATTGTTTGCCTTGTAAGTATATTATTTTAGTAAGTAAAGTTAGATATTTGTGTTTTTTTTCTGTTGGTACAGTACAACCATAGAGGAACAAAATGTTAAGTTGGAAGAGACCTTAAAAATAATTTAACAAAAATGCTGTCATTTTCTAGATGGTAATCAGGACCATGGAGATGTGGAGATGCTGGTTTTGTTTTGTTTTAATGTGTGTTTAGATCAGAACAAATTGAAATTAACTAACTCACCAACACTGTTTCTCTCCCATTGTCCTAGAGCTTTATCTTTTAAAACATATCTATGAGGTTCTATAGAAGTACTTGGTTTGTTTATTATCTTATTTTCAGCTAAGTAACATATTTGAATATTTGAAAGGAATTATCAAATCATCACTTTGGAATGCCAGTAGACTTATTCCAGTGATATCGTCATTGTACGAGTTGTATTTGGAACATGACTATGTTGAAATGACTGTCAAAGGTATTCATGAGAAATTTCCATCATAATCCTTTGAAGGAAAAAATTGACTTTTTTCTCCCAGAGTTGTCAAAAGCTATTTAAGAATGTACTTTCATAAGAAACATATTTTAAAAAATAAAACTACCTCTTATAACAGAAAAACTCTTCTTTTCATTCTATCCAAAGTTGTTTAAAAACTAAATCTAGATAAAGAAGATAATTGATTGGACTGGATAATGCAACTAGGGGTAAAAAAATTAAATGTGACTGTTTTGCAGCCAGTTTTCTTATGTGATTCCTAATATAGCTCTGAAGATGTATATTTAAAACCATTTCAAAAATCCTGGAGACAATGGCAGCATCCCAGAAATAAAATTTTGACTAACAAGGCTGGTGACATTGAAAAGGGTCAGCGTTGACTCAGACATATATGTTAGTGTTACTGCTAAAAAATTTAGTTCTGTTATTTTATATTTAGACTTTAACATTTTTTCGTTTCTTTCTTTGCCATTCGTATCCTCCTTTTTAGTTAGAAATTCAGTTTGTCACTATAGCTTAAAAAGCTTCTAATGCCATTTTTTTTTTCTTTTTAGGTATTGCTTTCACTGACCTACCGGTAAGACATAATTTTTTAAGAGCAATTTTGCATTTTTAATTAAAGGAAATGTAAAGAAACTGTACTAAACATGTTTAGAATACAATTTTATTGATGTTTGTTAAGTTTATATGTTGTGCATAGAACAGAGATCCTTTCTCTAGCCACCCTGGGTATGGACCTTCAGAAATTAAGCTTCCAAATAGCATTGGAGTCATTGCACAGGGAAAATAAATCAAAATTGACTACTTAAAATATACTTTTTAATGTCATTATTCATTTATCTGAAATGTGTTTCTTTGGTATCTTTGGACTTTTTAGCACAGAGCAGTACAGCAGTTCTAATCATTTATTCATTGAAGCCATACGGAGGCCAACTGTAAGGTGGGTCAGTGCTTGGAGTGTATCATTCAACAAAGCAGGCAGTAAAAGGCTAAGGTCTCTGCCTGCTTAGCATTTACAGTATTCAAGCTGGGGAAGTTAGAGAAGAAGCAATACATGAAACATAAATTGTATTATAGCATACAATGAAAGGTGTTTGGTACTTTGGAAAGAAAGAGAAAAAAATTGAATATGAGAGTACTAAAGGTAGCAGTACACAGGGTTGTGCAAATTGCTCCTTTTTGCTCAAGCTGAGACTTAAGCAAAGACTTTTGAATGAATGAGGTAGTTGTCCACATGATTATGTAGAACAAGAGTGTTTCAGGCAGAAGGAAGCTAGGGAAAAGGTGCCCAGACAGGGGCACATATGGCTTGTTTGGCAAATAGCATGAGTATATATAAGCAGGCCCTAAACATTGGGCATCAGTACAAAGGCGAGAACAACTAATGCTGGGCACTGCTAACTGGGAGAGGCAGGGAGGGGTCATAAGGGGTACACAACCATCCATCGGGTACCATATCCACTACTGGGGGCAGAGAGGTCTCACTAGAAGTCCAAACCTTACTACACACAATTTTCTTATGTAGCACACAATTTACATGCACCCCAGAACTCTTAAGATAAAATATAAAAATTTTTTTTAAAAAAACTTGAAGTATGGTAGAGACAAGTCAGGAAGGTTGTGCATAAGTAGTAGGAGATGATCAGAGATGATGGTGGGGGAGGGGTGAGCTAGGGCTACGGTCATCTAGGTCTCACAGGCCACTGGAAGGGTTTGGGCATTTACTCTGAGTTAAATGCAACAACACTGCAGCATTTTAGCTGTTATGATATGACTTCAGTTTTTACAAAATCACTCTGACTGCTGGGTTGAAAAATAGACTGTGTGGGGAGTAAGGGTGGGATTGAGGAGACCTGTGAGGAGATTATTGAAAAAGTTCAAGTGAAGGATCATGGTGACTTCATTGTTGGATTCTAGGTCTCTTATTTACCAAACCTAGGACACTATCAATTGTACTCTGCATCACATGTGACACCCAGGGGAACGTACAATCTATGACACAGTGCTTCCTTATCACTTATAATTTTAATTTATACTCATTGAGTGATCTCTTAGGATTAATTAAACTTAGATTTCTAATCTGTATCTCTTGTTACATACCTAAAAAGGAGGGGATAAGCAATATAAGTTGATTACAGTATTCCCAAACCTTCTTCATGTTCAGTTCAACCTTTTAAATAATTTTTTTAAGAATTGATATCCATTATTTTCTACTCTGTCATCAAGAACATTTCTTAAGAGTTCTCCATTATGTCTCTTGGATTCTCCTCCAAACTGCTGATCATATTGTACACATGTTGATACTGTCACTTTTGTAATATTAACCTAAGTTTTTCTGACAGCAATCAGGACTCTTGATACTCCTTTTTCAGTTGGTCTTAAGTGACTTATTAACTCAAATGTCTTATAGGTTGCAATTACCCTGCTGTTTTACCAGGAAAAACAATTAGGCTCCAGCATTTTTCAGTGAGGTCAATTCTTTAACAATTCACACCTGTGCAGACAATGATCGCTTTGTCATGATAGCTGCCTCACCAATGCTTAGGTGCCACTGATTATCCAATGCATTTTAGTTTTCAGAGATGTTTAAAGGGAGATGTTGGAAAACTCAGAGGTGGAGGATGGACACCAAATCTGTAGATAATTGATATCCCTTTGGAAAACCCTGGGGAAAACCCCAGGAATTTAAATTATAATAGAAGATAATTTTAGCCAAGAAACCTTTGGACTCTGCAGATCAAAACTGCTCACCAAAAAGCATTATTTAGTAAACAGTGATGGAGTGATTTTTTTTTTTTTTTAATACAGTGTTAGGGGTTTATCAGGTTTTATAGCAAAGTAAGTTCTAGATGAATTAAATAAGTAAAATAGTATTCTTTAAAAAAAAAAATCCAACTGAGACCTAAGAGAATTTGCTAATGGATTGAGTATAAAAATATGAGAAAGAATCTGACAGCAAGATTTCTAACCTGAGAAACTGAAAGAATGAATATGGCACTTATTCATATGGAGAAGGCGGTATATAGGTGAAAAAAGTTTTAAGGGAAGATCAGAAATTCAGTTTTGTATAAATTAAGAGTTGTCAGGGACACAGTTAAATATACAAGCCTGGAAGTCAAGAGAAATGATCTGTGCTGGAGATGAAAATTTAGGAGCTTTGGCATTTAGGTGTTATTTAAAGTCATGAGGCTGGTTGAAATCAACATGGGAGTGTGTGTAGGCAGAGAAGAGAATTGGACCAAAGACTGAGTTCTTGGGCGTGCTAAATTTGCGAAAAAGGAGAAACCAGTCATGGGAAATAGAGAAGGGGCAATCAGTGAGATCAAGAATTGGATTCCCAAAAGCTAAATGAAGAAATAACATCAAGGAGGGACGGATCAAAGGCCAGTGATACATCATGTATAATAAGGACAGGGAACTGACCATTGTACTTAGCAGAGTAGAGATCATTGGTGACCTGGACAAAATCATTTCAGCAGAGTGATGGAGAAATCCTAATTAGAATGAATTCAAGAGAGAATAGGAAGTGGAGAATTATAGACTGTGGACAACTGTGGAGGACTTTGGCCACTGTGGGGAGTAAAGAAATAGAGTGGTAGCTGGTGATGGAAGTAGGGGCAGTAGGAAAATTTTTTTTTTTTTTTTGAGTTGGAGTCTCACTCTGTTGCCCAGACTGGAGTGCAGTGGCCGCTCTTGGCCACTGCAGCCTCAACCTGTTGGGCTCCAGCGATCCTTCCGCCTCAACCTTCCAAGTAGCTAGAACTACAGGCGCGTGCTACCACGCCCAGCTAATTTTTTGATTTATTGTAGAGATGAGGTCTCGCCAAGTTGCCCAGGCGGGTCTCAAACCCGTGGGCTCAGGCAATCCACTCACCTCAGCCACCCAAAGCGTGGGATTACAGGCTGAGCCACCGAGCCCGGCTGGAAAAAATTTAAATGAGAATATTTAGCAGTATATTTGTTTGCTAATGCAAATAAATTCACTAGCAAGCACAAAAGTTGATTTAAAAAAAATTTTTTTTTTTTTTTACAAAAGAGGTAAGCAAGTGAGTGAAGGGATGGTCTTTTGAAAAGAGCATCGTGGGGACATGCTGGGCAGTGAGTGTGTAGTGCAGATTATGGTAGCTGGGCTGACATCCTTAACTGTTAAGAGGCTCTGGTGAGAACGATTTTGTTTGGAGCTAGTTCAGAGTCCTTAAATGACTGTTTTTTCTCTTTGTGGCACTAGGCATGTAAAACTAACGTGTCAAGGTGAGCTTTTGTTTTTGTAGATTTTGTTTCTTGTTGGTAGCTAGAGTGGTAATCATTTGGGAAAGGCTTTGTTAGTTGTAGACATGTTGACCTTCTAATTATTTTCTGTCCACTTTTGAATCACCTGTTAGGTTTTTTCCCCCTCATCTAGAGTTAACCAATAATGATATGCAACTTTGTTGCAGCAGTAAGTAGGATAGTGGTTATAAGTTTTCTTTTAATGTAGTGTTGCTAAGAGTTTTTCATTTTTAATACTGTAAATCTTCTGAGTCTTCCACTTACTGCATGTCACTTTTTTACTTGAAGAAGGAAAAAGTTAGTCTTTCTCTGAAAGGAAGCACCAAGGAAGTGTTTATTTGTTCTGTACCTGTGGTCTCTCATTAGTTATAACATTACAAGTTGTACTTGGGAGAGAGTGTGTTTGCAGAAAAACCATTTACCTAGACTGTTTTGCACCTGTTATAGAATATAGGGTGTTTAAACAACTCTGATAACTTTAGATCTTTTTCAAAATACTCTTTCTTCCCCAGCTCACCTCACCAGTTTGAGAAATGCCTAACTATAAACTACATATTATTGAAAATGGTGCTGCTTTCCAGTTCTGGACATTGACTGGATACATTATTTGCTTTTATTTTCATTAGAGGAAATCTTTTAAATATACCTGTAAAACAAAGCCATGCTGTTTGAGAAAATAAATTTATATCGTGTTCCTTTAGCTTTTGAACAATTTCTAGATAAGAATATTTTATCTTTCACAAGTTAATAGAAAAAAGATGTTTTCCTATTAAACTATTCTTCTAATTCTACATAAGGAAAGAGTAATTTTTTAAAACTTAGAAACATTTTCCTGGAAAACATTATTTCACATAAACCTGTAATCAAGATGCATGCTGCCACATGGATATCATTTTAAAAACATGCTAAATGAAAGAAGGTAGTCACAAAAGGTCACATACTGTATACTTTGTACAAAATGTTAAGAGAAGACAAATCCATAGAGTCAGAAAGTAGCTAGGGGTTAAAAGATTGGGGGAATAGGAGGGTAACTGTGAATGGGTACTGGGTTTCTTTTTGGAGTGGTGAGATGGTTGTAAAATTAGATAATCATAATAGTTGCACAGTTCTTTGAATATATGAAAAACCATTAAATTGTACACTTTAAAAGGCTATTGTTTTTTTAAAATCTGTAATCCAGCAAGTTAGGGACTGTGTCCTTAATCATCATCTCCCAAATTCTCTAGTTTTAAGGTTGAGTAAATGGTATAAAAATTATAGTTCCTTTCCAGTGAGCCAAAACTGGCTTAATATTTCTTCAAGTTTTGTTTAAATCTATTTCTAATTACAGAAATAATATACAGTGTTATATATTTAAATGAGAAAAATATTTATAAATACAGAAATATACAAAAGAGAAGTTATTCATAATCCCAGTGTCTTCAGCTACGATGGCTGCTTTAACTTTAATGTATGCTCTTTCTAAACACACATAAGCCAGTATGTCTGTTATTTAAATGCTTATATAAAAGATGGAGTCATACTATGTACAAGATTCTCTAGCTTGCTCTCTTCATGTACTAATGTGTATAAGATATCTCTCTGGTTTTGTACGCTCATTTAAAAAAATTGTTAAGTATGTGAGGTACAATTCAGGGTTAAAGATGCAAATGTTCGTTATGCAGGTACACTTGTTGATGAAGTATGCCCCAACCTGGCAGTTTCCCACTTCTGCTAATTCCTTTCTTATAGTATTACGATGGTTGTTCAAGGTCCACTTATGAGTGAGAACATGTGATACTCAGTTCTTTGTTTCTGTGACAGATAACACAGTATTATAGACTCTAAGTTCATCCAAGTTGCTGCAAAGTTCATAATTTTGTGCTTCTTAGTGGCTGTGTAATATTCCATCGTGCATATATACCACATTTTTAAAATCCAGTCCTCTTGATGGACAGCACGGTCGGTTCATACATTCATTTTTAAATTCTGGGGTTTTTTTTTTTGCCTGCTTTACAATATCTTAGTGTATGAATGTGCTGCTGCAGTTCATCAATTCTAAAATTTATATTTTTTTCAAATTTTAATATTTTTAAAATGGTAATGCATTTTAGAATCAGTGGCTTGCCCGAGTTTAATTTGCAGTATTTTTTTCTTAGACATAAAATAATACTATATCTTATTATTGGAATCTGAGATTTGGTGAATATGGTATAACATCACCTATCTGTTGTGGCCATTTAAAAATTTTTTTGCTATTACAATAATGCTGCAGGACATATGTTTTTGCACATGCTTGTTTTTCCTATAGGATTAAACTCATAAATGGAATTACTCTGTCAATTTTCATAGACTTTCTCTCATTTCTTCCTTAAAAGGTTATGTCAGCTTACATTTCTGTATACAGTGGATGAGAAGGGTTTATTTTCCCAATCTTCCTCAATATTGAGTAGTCTCAGTCTTTTAAATCTTAATCAGATGTGCAAAAAAAAATCATATTTTAATTTGCACTGTAAAAAACTGAGTGCAGTTCAGTATCTCTTCAAATGTTGTCATTTTGTGTTTCTTCTGCAAATTGTCTACAGTTGTCGCCATTTTAAAGAATTTGAACTGATTTTCAAATTCTTGTATTGTGAGAATATTTTCTGTATTTGGAATGCTGACTTTTTTTTTATATTAGTTTGGCAGATTTTTATCTAGAAAGTCCATTTGTCTTTTGCCATTTGTGGCATGTTTTGTCATAGGAAAATTTTAAGCTTTTATGAAACAGTTTTATCAGATAATTTATGAATGTTCATTGTCTTTGATAGTGTCGATAAAATTATTTTTCTGAATTTGTAATAAAGTTTAGATTAGGAAATCATTTTTAAAGCACCTTTATTTGAACAACATTGAATATCAGAATTATAAACTCTGCTTAATGAACAGAATTGCCTTTTACTGTACTGATTTATTTATTGTCTTTGGTCTTTATATGCCTTTGTCTTAAAGTAGCTCATAATTCTGTGATGGGTTTTACTGCAAAAAATACTGTGCCAGAAGTAGCAAGGCGTGAGTTTTTTTCTTTTATGTAGTGCTAGTGACAAGCTGTATGCTTTTGGATTGTGCCCTTAAAGTCTTTAGGTTTCAGTTTTCTCACTGGTGAAATAAGATGACTGTACTATATATCAGACCTGTTTTTAGCTTAAAATTCTATAAAGTTGTTAGCCGTGTTGATTATTAGGAATCAGTACATTTGCTTTAAGCATTTATTTCCATGATCCATTGATACTTTATTATATTTCTTGGTATTTTGACATAGTATTTGTTTTGTTTCTGATTTGTCTTACCTGGTTGAATAGTTGTCTTTAAATACATCCTATTAGCTTTTTGCTGTGACTTTTTTTTAATGTCTTAAACTTGAATGCAAATTATCCCCTCTAATCATTATCTTATTTTGTACCGAAATACTTGTGATAACTATTAAAGCAGAGAAAGAAGGCATACATACAGGGAACAAAGTTGTGGTAGGATTTGGAGTTACAAGAAGAAAAATTGTTCTTGGATTTGGTATCAGACAAACCTGTGTTCTAATTCCATCTCTGCCACTTGTTAGCAGAATGACCTGGAGCAAATTATTTAACTTCTAATTCTGGATTTCTCTCTTTGTATTGTAAATAATAAGTTACCTCACAGGATTATTGCGATTGAACTCTGGCATTTAGTAGATACTCAGAAACTCCTTCTCCCTTTAAAAGTAACAACCAATTAGTGATAGAGTCAAAAGAAGGACTCCTGTATATTTTGTATACTTGCAGCTGCCACCTTTTCATTTGATTAACCTTGAAATCCTAGAATATATCTGAATACATTTCTGATTCATCCTTTTCCTTCCTTGAAATAGGTACATTTGAGTTTTTATTTTTATATAGAGAATCCCCCACCCTTGAAGGCACTGTGTTATGCTTATAGCTAAGTTCTTATCACCTTCCTTTCATAAAGGCAGGCATCCCAAATGTACAGGTAAATGAAAATCGTACATACCTGGCTAGAATTGTACTTTTTTTTGGCAACTAGCTTTAATATACAGATTATAGAAATGTATCTTATATAAAATCAGGGGTAATCCTGAGTTATGTCATATTTGAATCTCTGTCACTACTGTATGGCATATTCTTAGAGCAAGAATTGTATTTTTATACATTAGTAGTATAGTGCCATGTGGTACAATATAGTGTGGCACTGAATAAATAGGTATCTTAGGTTACTTTGTTATTCTTCATGATTAAGTTACAGGAAGTGATATTTTTTCATCTATCATATAATGTATTTTAGATCATTTGTTTTAGTCATTCTCTACTAATATTTTGAGTGGGGTTTAAAATATCATGAAGTAAATTTATAGTTATTTTCTTTCAAAGATAGCATTAAAAGAATAAGTTTTAAACATAAAATGGATAAAAGCTTAATGAAGTATGTTGTTTTGCAGCCAAATTTGTATCCTACTGTGGGTCTTCAGACACCAGGAGAAGTCGTCGATGCAAATTTTGGGCAACATCCTTTTGTGTTTGATATAGAAGACTATATGCGAGAGTGGAGAACCAAAATACAGGCGCAGATAGACAGATTCCCAATTGGTGATCGAGAAGGAGAATGGCAGACCATGATACAAAAGTAAGAGTGAAGAAATTTGAATTGACATTATTCACAAATCTACTTTTTAATAAGACATTTGTTCTTTTGGTAATCATGGAAGCTTTTTAGTCTACTAATTTATATTCTATCTTTATTGTATTATTGTTCGTATTCTAATCTCTCAACAAAATATAACTTATTCTCCCAATTTAAACAACAACCAAAAAAAAGTGTTTGATTTAATGATGAATATACAGAATTGTATTTCAGTTTAAATTAAATTTTTTTTTTTTTTTTTGAGTTGGAGTCTCACTCTGTCGCCCAGACTGGAATGCAGTGGCCACTCCCGGCCACCACAGCCTTGACCTGCTGGGCTCTGGTGATCCTTCTGCCTCAGCCTTCCAAGTAGCCAGAATTACAGGCGTGCGCTACCACACCCGGCTGATTTTTTGATTTATTGTAGAGATGAGGTCTTGCTGCCCAGGCGGGTCTCGAACCCACGGGCTCAGGCAATCCACTCACCTCAGCCTTCCAAAGGCGCGGGATTACAGGCTGAGCCACCAAGCCCAGCTAGATTAAACTAATTTAATGGTGGAAGTAAATTGATGTTAAGTCACCTAGGCTATTCAGTTGCTCATTTTAGTAACAGGATTACTGATTTCTATAGGTTATATAATTCAATTTTTAATAATGTTTATGCAAAAGATAAGTTTGGAGACATAATCTAGATTTTATAATCGGGATCTGTGGTTTTTGGACATAAACTTGGTTGTGTCATTTAGTAGTAGTTCAGGAATTGCTGGGTAAAAAGAGTTGTTGCTGGGTGATAGTAAGCATCAAAATGTTTTAGAATACAGACTTGTATACTTTGCATTTCAGGATTTGGCTAAATTTTTCCAGTGTTTGGGTTATTCTAAGGATAGTATCAGCTATTTTTGGTTACTAGATCCTTTTTTAGCTAAATAGTTATTATTTAGCATTTAGGTTCATAGAGATTGTAATTGTCCCTATTTTAAATAGGAAAATATGACCAAAAGCCTCCAGCTTAAGAGATTTTTAAAAAATATTTATTCTTGATTAATTTTAATGCTACTTACTTTGCATATGGCATAATTAGATATGTAAGAAAAGATAAAGGGAATGAAGACCAAAGAGCAGTGAATGTGAAGTTAGGATTCCTAAGTGCAACGTAAATACTTAGGATTCATTCATAACAATGATGGAGTATGGTCAGCAGCAGAGAAGAAAATGGTGTCAAATTAAAAGTACCGTAAAATGAAATTATCTCAGTCCCTTCTTTGTCAAAGATTTTCAACTTGTTTTCTTAGGGAGTTTTTTAAAGTAGAATTTTATTATGGAAGTTAGCAGAAAAGTATAATTCCTGTGACAGCCTTTTTAGACTCTACCTTTGCTAAAAGACTGGACATGGCACATGGATGTCATTAGTACTAAATAGTAGCTCTCAAAGCTTATAATAGTATAGATTTAAAAATTAAGTAAATACCATTATATTTAAAAAGTCATCCTCACTGTTACAATCCAGGCCAAGAAAATGGCAGAGATTTTCAGATACCATTCTTCCAACCAACACATTTTTATTTTAAATTTCCTTAATAGTTGCTTTGAACATTCTTAACTTTAAAAATCTAATAAAGTTATTTGGGTATTTTGTTGAGGAGATTTGATTGGGAGACATGATGATGACTATGAAAGCATGCTTCCTCCATAGAGCTGTTCCCATCTATGTTGCAGAGCTTGGACACTAGTTTCTTTGTCTAGCACAGTTGAAAGAATAGACAACCCTGACTCAGATAGTCACCATGGGTTGAAGCTAGAATGGTTGTTCCCCTGGGGCCTCATTCTTGTAATGCTCTAAAAATAGTTGCTACTGAACATCATGGCAAGATAGTAGAAGAAGTAACATTTATCTTAATCCTGTAGCCATGATCCTTCTACCTCATTCTTTACAAAATTGATATTCACCCTGACCTCCTAGGAAGTCCATTCTAAAAGATCCTCTTAAATTAATTTGAACACTTGGATCAAATAAGATGAAAAACTGTTTCTTAGATGTTTTTCCCCCTTTTCCTCCCCACTTGCGCTTAGACCTTCTCCCGGTGAATCACTGCTTCCCATCATTTTTTAATTGGTCCTTGGTAGTGTCAGATGGGAGGCAGATTTAAGAATTGAGTGTTTGGAGATATTGATATTTGGGTTAATATTGTTGGATTACCGGTTTTTCTAACTACATTTTATGAGTAGATGTAAGTATATATTTTGACCACTTGGTGGCTTTAAAAAAAAAACTTGTTCTCTTGAAAGTCTGTCACTTACATGCAAGTCATATTTGAGAAATCTTCAAACTTTAGCAACTGATTTAGTTTAGAAGGCTGATTCTTCCTTTATTAGTAGTACCTACATAGACTTTGTTTTGGAAGATTTTCTCACTGGGTTCACCTTAGTATTTTTTCTGGATGTACTTTGTGATCCCCTCTCATTTATTGGCAGGTAGGTAAAGAAAGTAGTTGAACTCTGGAGAACCAAGAGTTAATCTGTTATTTAAAACTTGGTTATTTTATAAAATGCTAACATATTACTGGGATAAGTCATATGATAAAAGTAAAATAGAAATGATGATTAATAGGATGGAAAATAGGAAGGGATGTAAGGGTAATGGAGATCTAAGAATCAAAGAAAAGGATCACTTAATGTCCTTGATTCTCAAGTAATATTTATTTTAGGCAGAATAGTCTCAACATATCATTGCAATTACCTTTTTGGAAATATTACATGAATAGAACAAAATGATTTTTTTAACTTATTTTAAAACTGAGATTCTTAAAGCCTTCTTGTTTCAAGGAAATAGGTTTGTTTTGTAACACCAGAGTAGACCTTGTTTATATAAATTGTAGTTTGAAGCATGTATTCTCTTGACTAAAAGATGTATGTTTCTTCTTTTTATTTTAAGAATGGTTTCATCTTATTTAGTCCACCATGGTTACTGTGCCACAGCAGAGGCCTTTGCCAGATCTACAGACCAGACCGTTCTAGAAGAATTAGCTTCCATTAAGAATAGACAAAGTAAGGACACTGTGGTGCATGGCTAACATTTGTTTTCAGATTATAGGTTTGGTTTCTTTACTTTTTAGAAATTTTATTTTTTAATTTAAAAAAATTTCAAATATATTAATTTAAACCAGTTGCCTGTGAAATTTCTTTTCACTGATGTTTTTGAAGATAAGGTTTATAAAGCCACATAGGATTTACGTCAGAGTTCTAAACATAGAGAGAGATTTTGGAGAAATTTTTGTGATCTTTACCACTTTTTCTTAAAATAAGAAATATTTTCTTGAGGTTTCAGGAAACAAACATCCAATAAAAAGGTTTTCTTAAAAATAGTAAAGTAGTCCTGATTAGCTGGTAGAGATAATGTGAAAGAAATTGAAATACTTTGGAATTTAAATTGCTATCTAAATTTAAGATAGTATTGATCCATAAGTATTTATTGTTTAGGTCCTAAGTGCTGTCCTGTGTGGCCAACAGTGACAAGTGAGCATGATAACTGGTCCACAGTTAACCATCCTAAAGTTGGTGCTGTCCTTGACTTGAGAGTATGTGGATGAAAACAAAACAGGTCAAATCAATTGATGAAAACCTTTTTTAAAAAAAGATGTGGGGTACAATTCAGGATTTGGTAGATAGGTGGTCATAATACAGGTAAAGTTTGGGTCTCCCTTTGGTCCCCACTTCACATGGTTTGAGATCAGGAACCCTTTTTTCCATTACGTGCCCCCTCTTCCCTCCCCAGCAGTGTCCAAAAACAACTTTTTTATAGGTTGCAGTTACAATACCACTGATTGCATTGTGTTGTAGTTAATCAGTCATATGCTTGCCGTCTCACTGTTTTAATCTCTGTTGAACAAAGATGATTGCTTACTCATTTTGTATTTTCGTCATCTGATTTAACAAATGTCTTAATACCTACAGTGAATACTCAATGAGTGTCTATTAAACTCAGATCTTACTCAAAGGCTAGCATTCAAAAAGTCATCATATTTGCGAAGATACTTTAATAGTACCTCTTTAAAACATAGTTTTTTAAATCTTGGGGTTTAAAACTTCAGTTTTGTCTCATAGATGATTTATGTTTAGTTTGTGATTTTTAAAAAAAAATAGTTTGTGAAGGTACTTGTTTTTTTAATTTTTTAATATGTCTGAAATTTTTTCTGCATTGCCTAATGGAGACTAGGATGTTAGGAAAAGAAATAGAAGTTAATCATAATTTATTTAAAGATGTTTTTCACTAACTCCCCTTTTGTTCTGAAGATCTAGTAAGTTTATACTTTTGTAAAAGTTAATCTTTTGGTTTCTTTTACCAAATAGGAATTCAGAAATTGGTGTTAGCGGGAAGAATGGGAGAAGCCATTGAAACAACACAACAGTTATACCCAAGTTTACTTGAAAGAAATCCTAATCTCCTTTTCACATTAAAGTGAGTTGGTTTAATAAAATGAATAAAATGTTGTATTTGTTATGTATGTTATATACTAAAAATTATTTTCATAATTTTATTTTTTACTTTTTTTTCAAATATTTACATGTAATTTTTTAATGTAGCACATTTAGGTAACAAGTTATAAAGAATAATTTTGTGTTAAGAACTATAATCAGATGGCATTTTTGCTATGTGTTTGCTCTTTTATCATTTTATCTCTATGTTTAAAAATGTGAAAATCTCCAACCTAGGCAAAAAGTAAAAAAATTAGCTGGGTGTGGTGGTGCACACCTTTAGTCTCAGCTACTCAGGAGGTTGAGTCAGGAGAACTGCTTGAACCCAAGAGTTTGAGGTTTCATTGAGCCTTGATTATGCCACTGCACTCCACCCTGGGTGATAGTATGACATCAACTCAAAAAAAAAAAAAAAAGTGAAAATTTTATTTATAAGATGGGTGTCTATTTTTCCTTCTGAAAAGTACTTTACATTAAGTCATCTTGACATTTTTTAAAATTGTGGTAAAATAGGTATAGAATTTGCCATTTTAATTATTTTTTAAAATGTACAGCTCTGTAATCTTAAGTATATTCACATTGTTGGGCAACCATCACCACCATTCATCTCCAGAACTTTTCAACTTTCCAAACTGAAACTCTGTATCTATTAAACACTAACTCCCCTTTTCTTCCTTTCCTCAGCCTCTAGCAGCCACCATTTTACTTTCTACCTATGTGAATTTGACCACTGTAGGTACCTCATATAGGTAGAATCGTACAATATTTGTTCTTTGACTTTTTTTAGTTAGTATAATGTCCTCATGATTCATCCTTGTTGTAGCATGTATCAGAATTTCCTTCCTTTTAAAGGCTGAATACTATGGACATACCACATTTTGTTTATCCACTGATGGACACTTAGGTTGTTTCTGCCTCTTGAATATCATGACTAATTTTGCTTATAAACATAGGTGTAAGCTGGGCTCGGTGGCTCAGCCTGTAATCCCGCGCTTTGGGAGGCTGAGGTGAGTGGATTGCCTGAGCCCGCGGGTTCAAGACTCGCCTGGGCAACTTGGTGAGACCTCAACTCTACAATAAATCAAAAAATTAGCCAGGTGTGTAGCACGTGCCTGAAGTTCCAGCTAGTTGGAAGGCTGAGGCAGAAGGATCGCCGGAGCCCAGCAGGTTGAGGCTGCGGTGGCCGGGAGTGGCCACTGCACTCCAGTCTGGGCGACAGAGTGAGACTCCAACTCAAAAAAAAAAAAAAAAAAAAATTGGTGTACAAATATGTGAGTCTCTGCTTTTGATCTTTTTTTTTTGTGGCAATATTCCTAGAAGTGGAATTTCTGGATCATATGTTTTTCTGTATTTAATTTTTTGAAGAATTGTCATGCTGTTTTTCTCAGTGACTGCAACATTTTATATTCCCATGATTTGATGTACACAAGGGCTTCAGTTTCCCCACATCCTTGCCAATACGTATTTTCTGGTTTTTTGGTAATAGCCATACTACTTTGACATTTTTATTGGTTTTATGACTCTTTATTATTTTAAAAATCAGATGTTATTGAGCTTAAGATTTCAACTCTTTAAGCAACAGAAATTCTTTGTAGGTCAAATGAAAGAATTGTTTTGCTTTCTAATAGAAGTTTAAATGAGGCTGGAATTGGAGGAAGGGTGGGGACAAAGCTATGCTTTGCATGTATCATATACATAAAATCATATTCTGAGGCACTATTTGATTTGCTACCAAGTGCAAATATTATTTTGGTTAAATTATTTTTTGTTAAAAGAGGCCCATATTTTGTTTACTGTAGCTACAGATAAATTTCCATTTTCTTAGTAAATCTTGATTAAAGGGAATTTTTGCATTATACTTTCATTTTTCTGGAAAATCAAAAATTCTAAGCAATACAGTATATGATAGTATGTTTAATATTTTTAGCTTACTATTTTAAGGCAAAACCTACTGATAAAATACAAATTTGTCAAATATTTTCAGAAATTTTTTACTATCATAAATAAAAGGCCATGTGAAGATTGTGTCTAAGTAAATGTTTCTTTTCTCTTGTAGAGTACGTCAGTTTATAGAAATGGTGAATGGTACAGATAGTGAAGTACGGTGTTTGGGAGGCCGAAGTCCAAAGTCTCAAGACAGTTATCCTGTTAGTCCTAGACCTTTTAGTAGTCCGAGTATGAGCCCCAGCCATGGAATGAATATCCACAATTTAGCATCAGGAAAAGGAAATACTACACATTTTTCTGGTGAGATTCAATCTTATGACATTATTTTTAGATTTTTCCCTTTTAAAATTTTGAACCATTAAAAAAAATTGGACATTTTCTTTGTAGCTATTTTACAAATGTGTATACTTGATCTTAAGATGTACTGGATAAAAACATGTAGGTTCAGATTCATATGTTATCAGTACCAGGAAGTAACTTAAAGAATGACTGTTTCTTAGCTACTATTATTAGTTATTAGCAGATACTCATAAATGAAGGTCAGCTAGTGTCCTTAGAATTACATCATTGATATTTAGTAATGTAAAGGTAATTGTATGTTTTAATAAAATATAAATGTAAAGGTGATCTGGCTAGATATGCCAACAGTTACCAAAGCTAGCTGGACTGCCTGACTCTCTTTCCCTCAGATCTTTCCTCACCAAGGTTCTTCCAAAAGTCAACTCTGCCTAGTTCATTTTCTCCTACTCTTTTTTTGGCTTACCAGTTTTACTTTCTGTGGCTTTTGGTATTCTTTTAATTAAAATTCTCTCCTTTCTTGGCTTTTGTGACATCACTTCTATAGATTTATTTCTTATCCTTCTCAGTCTTCTCTGTCTCTTTAATTCTGGTTTTTCCAAAATGTTATCCTCTGTACTTAACATTCTAAACCTAGTCAGAAAATGTTTCCTTTCAGAGTACCACCTTTGCTTTATCTCTTCAGTATGTACTCTTTCAGCATGACTTCCTCTCAGTTTATTAATATACCGCCCTGTACAACAAGGATGATTCTCATGTCTATTTTCTTAGCCACCACTTCTCTTGAATATCATCTAGCCACTTCAGGCTTGGACAAATTCTGAGCCTTTGTGTTCATATGTAAAATAGGGATAATGATAATATTATCTCATGGGGAATGATGAGTATTATATGAGTTAAGCCTTCAGTAAATGCTAGAGGAGATAATAATTACAGCCTCACAATTAAAGATTCTTAATATCCTTTCAAAGAAATGATCTATTTGCTCTTTAAGTAGTCCATTGACTCACCTACATTCTAGAAGTTTTAAATACAAGATCAAAATATGGAGATTTATTTACAGCCTCATTACTAAATTTATGTGTGTTTATTTCCATGTGGCATCTTTTTCTTCAGGTTTTGAAAGTTGTAGTAATGGTGTAATATCAAATAAAGCACATCAATCATATTGCCATAGTAAACACCAGTCATCTAATTTGAATGTACCAGAACTGAACAGTATAAATATGTCCAGATTACAGCAAGTTAATAACTTCACCAGGTAAGTGATATTACTGACTTTTGTATTAACATAGGCATTCTAGTTATAGTTTTCATCATTGTGATAATTTTGAAAGAACTTGAATTATGTGACCCATAGTGGGCGTCTAAGAGTTCCCAAGCCCCCAGCAAATAAAAGAGTAGTGAATCAGTTTGCCAAAGCTTTTCAGTATCCTGGTATGCACATGAGCCCTTTCCTTAGTTCCTTCCTCTTCTTCTACTACTCTCTTACCTCTAGTAAGGTTATAAGGACAAATTCAGGGCTTTATGCATTGTTTTCCTGTCAACTACAGAGCTCTACAGATGATCACATAAATGCCATTTGTTATGTTTTCAAGTGAAGACACAGTAGTATATTTAACCTCTGATGTTAACATATGATACGTTTTCAGCTAATGTTTTTTTCTCTGTGAGTTTTTTTGTTATAAATATGTGGAATGCTTTTTGAGTTCAAAATAACTAACTTCACAAAGAATCGTTTCTGAAAGCCTGTTTTTAAGTAGCTTGTGTATAGCAAGATGGTTAAGTCATTTAGCAAACATTAGCATGGAGATAGTATTGAGGACCTGTTAGATACCAAACAATCTGCTAGGTGTGGTTTCTGACTTTGAAGAGCTTTGGGAGAAGATATGTCTCTTTTGATACACTCTGACCATTGGCATACTCATGTTTAATATTCATGAAACCCAGGAGTTCAAGAAGTGAAATCATTTGAATTGAATACTACTGTTCAAGTGCAAGTTCTTATGAATTCAGCCTGCCCAAATCATGCAGCATTTGAATCAGTTTGATATTAGTTTGGTCTGTAACACAAATCAGTTGATCATACTTCATTTTCTGGGAATGGTCACCAGTGCAACATTTTCTTTTTTTTTTTTTTTGGGAGTTGAAGTCTCACTTTATCACTTGGGCTGGAGTGCAGTGGTATGCTTATGGCCACCACAGCCTCGACCTGCTAGGTTCAGGTGAGTCCTTCTGCCTCAGCCTTCTAAGTAACTGGTACCACTGGCATGTGCCACCACGCCTGGTTAAGTTTTTGATTTATTGCAGAGAAGTCTCGCCACTTTGCCCAGACTGGTCTCGAACCCCTGGGCTCAGGCAGTCCTCTCACCTCCGCCTCCCAAAGTGCTGGGAGTACAGGCTTGAGCTTCCGCGCCTGGCCACAACATTTTCTTATTAAAGGAGAGAACCTAAGTCACTTTGAGCATGGAATCTTAATGGAAATATGATTCTGCAGGCAGAAGTGTATGGAAAAATACCTGTGTTTGACAATGTGGAGATTAATCAAAATATCTGGGTTATCTGTCACACATGACAAATGTACTGAAAGGGATGTTGTTGTGTGATTGATACCAGTTGCAATGGAGGTCCACAAAAGTGATAGGAGTACAGCGGAAAAAATAACTGTTTTTTGCTGAGGCGATCAGGGTCATATTTCACAGCAGAGAAGACATAATAGAAAATATAAAATTAAAATATTGTGGCAAAAATATATATATGGAAATTTTAAGTTAAGTCTCTAATATTAAATCATACTTTGTAATAAAGTACATTATTACTTTATCATTGATGGAGAGTTCTGCCATTGTTTGTGGGTAAGATTGCAGTCAGTTTGTGGGGTTTTCTCTTAAATACTGTCCCCACAGCAGGACGTTGCTAAATAGACCTGTTATTACCTGAGTTCTGGGAAGCAAGTATAACTGAAGGGGTTGATGACACAGCATCCTCCTTTGTGTGTAGTACAGAAGGGAAAGCAAGGAAACTTTTTCATGGCTTTAATCTAACGGTTATAGTTGATAATGGCTTTCCTTACAACAATATTGTGAAGTAGACAAAGATGGTACCAACTGTAAACCGTTTTACAGATGCAGAGCTGGATATCAGAAGAGTAAACAACTTTGTTTTTTAATGGTCAATAATTAGTAGCTAGTAAGTTGCAGTGCTGAGACTGTTTCCCAGATGTGACTTGCAAATTTATGCTTTTTCCATTATACCTCCCAACATCTGAAATGTTTTTCTCCCTGCCCTCCCTCACCTCCAACATAATTTCTGTCCAAGGTACAAGACTCAAGTTCATTGTCAATTCTTCTAGGATATTTTCCTTGATTTACATCTCCACCAAATGTTTTTTTGCTTCTTGTGATTAACTTTCATCATAGTACTAATCAAAATCACTCTGTAATATAATAATAATATTAGCTTTTCACAGGCTATTTGCTCTCGGAGGACAGAGGCTATTTCATAAAATCCTTAGCACCTAACATCAGTTATACCTCAAAGGCTCTTAAAAGATGTATGTTAAATGAATGAATGCCTCTCGAATACTAAATTGAATTGTTAAAAAAAAGTAGTATTTTTTTAAGACTTCTGAAAGCTATGATGATAAATATTTTCATTTAATTAAACATTAAGGTTTGGTTTTTCTTTTTTTTTTTTGAGTTGGAGTCTCACTCTGTCGCCCATACTGGAGTGCAGTGGCCGCTCCCGGCCACCGCAGCCTCGACCTGCTGGGCTCCGGCGAGCCTTCCGCCTCAGCCTTCCAAGTAGCTGGAATAACAGGCGTGCACTACCACGCTCGGCTAATTTTTTGATTTATTGTAGAGATGAGGTCTCACCAAGTTGCCCGGGCGGGTCTCGAACCTGTGGACTCAGGCAGTCCACTCACCTCAGCCTCCCAAGGCGCAGGATTACAGGCTGAGCCACCGAGCCCGGCTAAGGTTTGGTTTTTCTCATCAATTTTCAGTTTGTCAAGTTATAAACAATCTTTTCTGACTGAAGAAGTGTGGTCTGGAGCCCTAGGGCCCTATCCCCCTTCTCCCCAGATCTCTGTCTTTTGACCTTAAAGGTTTACATAGGAGTGTATTAATGTACATTCCCCCAAGGTATTAACCAGTGGTTACCTCTGGTGGTATCTTGCTCATTTGTATTAATTTTTTTCTACAACTGAATATATATTGCTTTTGTAATGAGAAGGGTCATTTTTATTTAAACATCTTATAAAATATCATCTGGACTGTATAATTATTACCTGGATATTTATAGGAGAAACCTGCAAGATGGATAGTTCTTGTTGCTTATGAGAGTGTGAATGGGCCTGAAGGGCACACATGACAGCTTTAATATGTCCAGATACAGTTATTGAGACACAGGTATTCGTTCAGTGTGGAATGAGTAAAAACTGGAAACCACCCAAAACAACAATTTGAAAACTAAGATTTAGCAATACTTTAGCCAATAAAATAGCCTGTGAGAAAGAGTGTTGTGTGCTAGAAAAGGTATTCAAGGATGAGACTAAACAGTTTCTTTTTTTTTTTTTTAATTACAGTGAACTGCTAGAAAAACATGACAAAGCTAAGCAGTGTTAAAATGGCTGAGCTTTAGCGCAAGATTATTCCATTAAATAATTCCATCTTGACATTTCACCTTTTCACTTTAGTCTTCATAACAGCTATTAGGTCTTGGTGGGGACTCCCAAAATGTTAGGGTCACATTCTCAGCAGGGCCCCCAGAATGTTAGGTCAGGCCCACTGGGTTGTAATCTGATGCATGAAGGATGCAAAGAATTGTGCAGAAGTTCGCTTAGAAAATATAGTTTATTTAAAAAGTAAATTAGAGTGAGAGAGAGAAAGAAAGAGGAAATTTACCCTCCCAAGGCAGGGAAGGGAGACAAAACCAGGAAGCATGAAGACAGCCATAGCTCAGAGTGCACATGGCTGTGCCAGAGTTTAGTAAGGCAGTGGCTGAGAGGGAGCAGTTTCGTAGGTTATTACTGTATTTACATTTGAGAGTGTTCATTTTTTAAGTAGTGAAGACAAATGCCAAAAATATCGATTATTAAAAAGTAGGTTGGAATACGAGATCAGGAAAGAGGTAGAGTAGGTTCCATGAATGGGAGTTAATAGTTTGACAGTGAAGGTTTCTCCTTACATACTGGAAATAATTACAGGGAGAATGGGGAGAGGGCGGCTGGGGAGAAACTGGGGCAGCAGTTGATTAATAAAGAAGTATAGATCTGAATTGGAAAAATAGTAGGATGGTACTGAAGGATGATTTCTTCATATTGATGTAAAGTCATAAAACCACAACATTTTAGCACATTGTACTTTTTTCTCCCTTATTTCCAGGAGTATGAATTTGTTAAAAGTCAGCTACATGTTTGGCTTTGAGTACATTCAAGATTTAACTCAGTTCCTTTTTTGCAGATTGCTGTTGGTTTATAAGAAGACTTTGTAGTTGAGTAGCAACTTATTTGAAACTAAGCTGCAAATATGATATTTCTAAATCTAGGTTTGTTTTTTCATTTCCAGTAATGATGTAGACATGGAAACAGATCACTACTCCAATGGAGTTGGAGAAACTTCATCCAATGGTTTCCTAAATGGTAGCTCTAAACATGACCACGAAATGGAAGATTGTGACACCGAAATGGGTCTGCAGTGATATTTCTTACATTTTTAATTTAAAAATGGTGGCTACAAGGTTATGTTTTTACTTGTACTGATTCACAGCTGATGAACATAAACCAGATTTACAGATGTGTGTGCCATAGACAATAGTATGTATTGACAGCAAGACAGATGGCTTGTGTTTCCCTGGGGATGGGTTGCTGGGGAGAGTAGAGTCACTTTTCAGGTCCTTCTGAAGGGCCGGGAGTTTCCTTTGCTGAACTTTCTCGGCTCAACTTTAGCGCGGTCATTAATGCAGTGGTACGTCTTGCTAGTGTTGTGCCTCTAGGGTTTTTAGGGTTGGAGATAATGAAACTTACCCTTATTTCAGTAGAGTCATAAGGCCAAATGGGTAGAGATGCACGTACAAATTCTAATCAAACAGAATTTCCTATATTGGTTCAGTGCAAGTGTGTGACAGTTCATAGTGCTGTTCTGGTACATAGTAATTACTTAAGTATCCCCTTCCTCATCCCCCAAAAAGTCACGTGGCTCAAAGACATATTCGCAGGCATAATTTTATTTTGTAGACAACTTACGTAGTAAATTGTACCATAAAGTTAAACCATTAGGAAACTTTCCCATCACCTAAAGATGAAACTCATAAATTATTTGTTAGATTGAAGTTCATAAATTATTTGTTAGAATTCCATGGCAACATACTGTTTCTTGGTACTTCCTAGGTATTATTCAAATTATTTTAAAAGACAGGCTAGTTTTACTCTATATCAGCAACCTCAACTTCCAAAGAGTAATTTCAGTATACTGATTGATAGCAGGAATTCTAGAGCCCGATTACCTGGATTTGATTTCTGCAACTGCCACTTACTAGCTGTATGACCTCAGACAAATTACTTAACCACTCAGTTTTTTCATCTGTAAAATGGGTATAGTAATGAGTATAATTCTTCATCTGTAAAATTGACACAAAGAACTTAGTAAATGTTAACAATTATCATCATTATAATATTAATGAATTATGCTTTTAGAGATTTATACAGTTATATTATTGTTGATTGGTGATAGTTGTCAATCAAGATGGATAATATAAAATTATTTTCTAAGAGTAGTTTTCTAGAAGTAGTGCAGTTAATCCTTTTGATGAGCATAATTTGGTGTCTTCTGTGTTTTCATTGGAGTCATTTGGCCTCTCTTAGCTTTCAGAAACATTTTATCACATCTCTGTTCTATGTCCGTTTAAGCAGTCTGACAGGCAATTACTGTTTATTTTTTGTTAATGTTGTTTTAGAGAATTACACTGAACTTTTCCTAAAAATTTTCCTGACATGCTGACTACATTCTGACACTAAAAGATTTTCATCTGACTCTCAGGTGCATGATAATATTGGGTCCTAGACTCTTGAGGCCTAAATAAAGTATACCTTTTAGCTGCAAAGTTCCATATGAAATTAAAAACAATATTTTAAAATGTGTATATTTAGGGGACATATTAGGGAGGTGTGGCTAAGCAAAATGTCCAGAATGTCAAGAAAGTTGTGTTCCTGTCTTTGTATTATTCCACTCTATAAGGTAGTAAAGTCTTTGTCTGTTTTGCTTACAGAAGTTGATTCGAGTCAATTGAGACGCCAGTTGTGTGGAGGAAGTCAGGCCGCCATAGAAAGAATGATCCATTTTGGAAGAGAGCTGCAGGCGATGAGTGAGCAGCTGAGGAGAGAGTGTGGCAAGAACACCGCAAATAAGAAAATGTTGAAGGTGAGTATGTTTTTCCTTGAAAAATTATAGATGTGTCAAAGGAACTAAAGTGTCTTTTTTTGAAACAGTAGGGTGCTAGAAATTCCTGTCAGGGAATTTGGATGTGAACTTCCCTTTGGCTTCTTGCCCACCTGAGAGAGTACACGTTTGAAGGACTTAGGCACCTCCAATCTACTGGAAAGAGCATTGGACTTGTGTAAAAAATATAGATTAAATCCCTATTGTCTATCCTTTGGCAACTTCGTTTAATTCTTAGTTTTATTTTCTCGGCTGTAAAATTGGCAGTTATTCAGAGAAATGTGAGTGTGATAAAACTATCGATTTTAAGTACTATTTTATCAAATACTGTTGGGAGTTGCAGCAATTTGAATGTATAACACATGGCTCTCATTTTGATGGGGATTGGTAAAGAATTGGGTCATCTTTCATGGCCAGAATAGTTAAAATACATTTAAAATCTCTTCTGCATGGATGTCCATGAGATGGTAGGATGGATAAAATGTGTATAATTCAGAAAATTAGCCACAATTTTGTGTATCAGTTGAAGATGGAGTTTTCTCCTAACTTAGGTCAGCATTGCAGTTGTAGAGATGTTATGGCTCTTTAACAGTTGGTTTGTTATAAACATTTTCTCCTGAATGTGTTGAAAGAAGCCAAAAAAAACAAAAGGGAGATGCATATAGTGTCTTTGAGACTGATGCTTAGATGTGGTAGGAAAGATCATTGCTTCTGCCACCTCTTCCTGACCTGACTGGAACTGAGAGTCAGTACAGGCTGAATGCCCCAATCTGAAAATCTGAAACGTTCCAAAATCTAAAACTTTGAGCATTACCATGATGCTCAAGGAAATGCTCATTGGAGCATTTTGGATGTCAGATTTTTGGATTAGGGATGCTTAACTGGTAAATATTTCAAAATTTGAAAAACATTGAAATCTGAAATGCTTCTGTTCCCAAGCATTTCGGATAAGGAATACTCAACCTGTGTATCAGTCAACAATACCTAGTAGCACCTAATACAATACACTTGGCATGAAATCAGTAAAAATAAAACATCTGTCTGCGCTCTGGCCTCAGTACAGCACAGGTGTAGACATATCTGCCTAGTCTAGGAGGGGTCAAGGAGCCATCTGTAACACACCTCAAGTTATAAAGGTTTGCAATCTTATATTTTTCAGTAGCTGAGGTGGGAAGAGAGGTGTATGTACCATATTTAATTCATCTAATGCATAGCAGCATAACTGCTATTTCTAATGGCGACCCTGAGCTATCAAAAAATATTAAATTATATATTTTTATGCTAAATAAAAATAATTGGTGATTTATGTAATGGAAACACTTTTTTTTTTTTTTTTTGAGTCTCACTCCGTTGTCCAGGCTGGAGTGCAGTGGCACGCTCACAGCCACCCCAGTGTTGACCTGCTGGGCTCTGGCATTTCTTCCACCTTAGCCACCCAAGTAGCTGGAACTACAGGCATACGCTACCATGCCCAGCTAATTTTTTATTTATTGTAGAGATGAGGTCTCGCCAAGTTGCCCGGTTGGTCTCCAACCCGCGGGTTCAGGCAATCCACTCACTTTGGCCTCCCAAAGTGCTGGAATTGCAGGCTGAGCCACCCAGCCTGGTGTGAAACAGTTTTTAATTTAAAAAGTCAAATCAGACATTCATGTGTCAGGAAAATTTGCAATTATCTTGTCTCATTCTGCAGGTTGCCTATTTATTGATTTTATGACTTTTGCTGTGCAGAAGCTTCTTAGTTTAATTAAATCCCACTTGCTTATTTTTGTTTTTGTTGCATTTGCTTTTGAGGTTTTAGCCATAAATTCTTTGCCTAGGTTGATGTCTGTAAAAGTTTCTCCTAAATTTTCTTCTAGGATTTGTATGGCTTCAGGTGGGATATTTAAGTCTTTAATCTTTCTTGAGTTAATTTTTGTACGTATGGTGAGAGGGATCAAGATTCATTTTTCTGCTTGTAGCTATCCAATTTTCCTAGCATTATTTATTGAATAGGGTGTCCTTTCCACAGTTTATGTTTTTGTCTACTTTGTCAAAGATCAGTTGGTTGTAGGTATTTGGGTTTTGGATTCTCTGTTCTGTTCCATTTGTCTGTATGTCTGCTCTTCAACCAGTTCCATGTTGTTTTGGTTACTACAGCCTTGTAGTGAAGTCAGGTAATGTGATGCCTCCAGCTTTGTTCTTTTTGCTTAGAATTGCTTTGGCTACTCTGGCTCTTTTTTGGTTTCATATGAATTGTAGGATTGTTTTTCTAATTCTCTGAAAAGGATGTTGATATTTTGATAAGGATTGCAATGGATCTGTAGATCACTTTGGGTAATACCGGTCATTATAACTCATTCACGACTGCTGACGTGAATTTACATCATTCCAATTCTGTTCCTGGTTGTTGCTGGCATAAATTTACCTCATCACGGAAGACTGTCTTTTCAGGTTTATAATCCGAATACAAATACAAAGTATGGAATGCTAGTCAGAGTGGTGCCCGAGGCAAATACTGGATATATCTGCAACTTTCAGCTGTATTGTGAGAAAGGTGACAATTTAGAAAAGACCATTTCACTTGTGCTTAACGACAAAAGTTTGCAGCAGCCAGCTTCAGACTTTTTAAATTTTCAGTCAGTATTAGGAAAGTGAAAAACTGCCCGTCGCAAGTGTGTTAATAATGTTGATTCTTCCAATTCATGAGCATGGGATGTTTCTCCGTTTGTGTCCTTTGCAGCTTCCTTCATCAGAGTTTTGTAGTTCTCCCTATAGAGAACTTTCACCTCCTTTGTTAAATATACAAGGGATCCAAAGAAAAAGTATACCCATTTTAAGTATGATGTTCGCTCAAAAGATGATGTTAATCAAATGAATGCTAGCATCACCATGCAACAGGCAGGACAGACAAAGAAAATGATGGAAGCACAGTTGAGCAAATGTCATACTACACCTCGCTACCATAATTCAACTTCAAAAAGTAATAAATAGATAACGTCTCCTACAATATTTATACATTTTTTTGGCATGCCCATATTCTTAGGTATTTTAGCTTTTTGGCTACTATTGTAAATGAAGTTGAGTTCTTGATTTGATTCTCAGCTTGGTCGCTATTGGTATATAGCAGTGCTACTGATTTATGTGTGTTGATTTTGTACCCTGAAACTTTACCAAATTCATTTATCAAGTCCAGGAGTCTTTCGGAAGGGGTCTTTAGGATTCTCTAGATATAAGATCATATCATTGGCATATACAGATTAGTTTGATTTCTTTTTCTTGCCTGATTGCTCTGACTAGGACTTCCAGTACTATGTTGAATAGGAATGGAGAAAGTGGGCATCCTTGCCTTGTTCCAGTTCTGAAGGGGAATGCATTTGACTTTTCTCTGTTCAGGATAACATTGGCTACAGGTTTGTTATATATGGCTTTTATTATTTTCAGGAATGTTTCTTCTATGCCTGTTTTGCTGAGGATTTATCATGAAGGAATGTTAGATTTTATTAAATGCTTTTTCTGTGTTGAAATGATCATGTGATTTTTGTCTTAAATTGTGTTTATCTGGTAGATCACATTTATTGACTTGCATATGTTGAACAATCCTGGATCCTTGGAATAAAACCCACTTGATTGTGGTGGATTATTTTTTACATGCTTTTGAATTGGCTTGCTAATACTTTGTTGAGGATTTTCACATCTGTGTGCATCAGGGATATTGCACTATAGTTTTCTTGTTGTGTCTCGCTGGCTTTGGTGTCAGAGTGATACTGGCTTCATAGAATGAATCAGGGAGAATTCCCTCCTCTTCAGTCTTATGGAATACCTTCAGTGAAATTAATATCTGTTCTTCTTTGAAAGTCTGGCTAGAATTTGGCTGTGATCCATCAAGTTGTGGCTTTTTGTTGTTGTTGGGACACTTTTAATTACTGTTTCAATCTCGCATTCTTTTGTTCAGGTTTTCTGTTTTTTCCTGATTTGAGTGTTGGGGGTTGTAGGTTTGCCAGAATTTATCCATTTCCTCTAGATTGTCTAGTTTGTTTGCATAGAGGTGTTCATAATAATCTCGGATGATCTTTTGTATTTCTGTTGTATGGTTGTAATGTTTCCTTTTTCATTTCTAATTGAGCTAATTTGAATCCTTTTTTTAAAATCTAGCTAGTGATCTGTCAATTTTATCTTTTCAAATAACCAACTTTTCGTTGATCCTTTGTATAGTTGTTTTGATTTCAGTTCATTTAGTTCTGCTCTGATCTTCATTATTTCTTTTCTTCTGCTAGCTTTGGGTTTGGTTTGTTCATGTTTTTCTAGATCTTTTGAGGTATGATGTTAAGTTGTTAATATGTGATCTTTCAGTCTTATTAATGTAGGTCTTAAGCACTATAAATTTTCCTCTGAGCACAGCTTTGGTTGTGTCCTAGAGGTTTTGATAACTTGTTTCATTGCTGTCATTGATTTCGAGGAATTCTTAAATTTCCATCTTGTTTTCATTGTTGACCCAAGGATCATTCAGGAGCAGATTGTTTAACTTCCATGTTTTTGTTTGGTTTTTGAGTTCTTCTTGGAATTAATATCTAGTTTCATTCCACTGTAGTCTGAGAAGGTACTTGATATGATTTGGATTTTTTTTTTTTTTTGGCCTATCATATACATGTCTTGGAGAAAGTTCCATGTGCCAAAGAGAAAAAGGTATCTTCTGTAGTTTCGGGGTGGGGAATGTACTGTAGATATTTGCTAGTTCCATTTGCTTTAGGGTCCAGTTTAACTCCAGTGTTTCTTCGTTAACTTTCTGCCTTGATGAGCTGTCTGTTGCTGTCAGTGGAGTGTTGAAGTCTCCCACTATTGTTGTATAGCTGTCTAACTTTTTTTTAGATCTAGTAGAATTTGTTTAATAAAGTGGGGCGCTCCGGTGTTAGATGCACATATATTTAAGATTGTTGTATCTTCTTGTTGGATTGATCCCTTTATCATTATGTAATAACCATCTTTGTCTTTTTTTGTTGTTTACTATTGTTAGTGTAAAGTCTGTTTTATCTGACATGAGAAGGGTTGCTCCTGTTCATTTTTTGATTTCCATTTGAGTGGAAATTTTTTCCCATCCCTTTATCTTGAGTCTGTAGGAGTCTTTGTGTTAAGTGAGTCTCTTGAAAACAGCAGATATTTGGATTTTTAAAAAATCTATTCTGCCAGTCTATATCTTTTTAGTGGGTCATTAAGACCATTTATGTTCAAGGTTAATAATGATATGTAAGGTATGATTACATTCATCATGCTGGTTGTTATCTGGTTACTTTATTCATTTATTTATTATCTATTGTGTTGGTGTTCTGTAAGCCTTGTGAGCTTTATAAATTCCAGTTTTTCTACTGGTGTATTCTAACCTTTTGTTTCAGTATTTAGAACTCCTTTGATATTTCTTTTACAGCCAGTTTCCTGGTGACAAATTCCCTCTGCATTTGCTTGTCTGAGAAAGACTTCATTTCTCCTTTATTTATGAAACTTAGTTTTGTGGGATACAAAATCCTTAGCTAACTGTTATTCTGTTTGAGGAGATTGATAGGGCCTCAGTCCCTTCTGGCTTGTAGATTTCTTCTGACAAGTCTGCTCTTAGTTGGATAGGTTTGCCTTTGTAAGTTATTTGATACTTTTTTTCTCACTGCTCTTAAATTTTTTCCTTCACCTTAACTTTGCATAACCTGATGATTATATACCTTGGGGATAACCTTTTTGCAGTGAATCTTCTAGGGGTTCTTTGGGCTTCTTTTATCTGGATGTTTAAATCTCTGGCAAGGGCAAGGAAATTTTCCTCAATTATTCCCTCAATCAGGTTTCCCAAACCTGTTTTCTTCCTCAGAACACCTGTGACTCTTATTTTGGACGTTTTACATAATCCCACATTTCTTGGGAGACTTTGTTCCATTATCTTGATTCTTTTCTTTTTTGTCTGAGTTCATTCAAAAGCCTGTCTTTAATTTCTGAGATCCTTTCCTCTATTTGTTCTAGTCTACTGTTAAAACTTTCCACTGCATTTTGTATATCAATGATTCTTTCATTTCCAGAATTTCAGCTTGTGGGTCGTTCCCCCCCCCCCCCCCCGTGTGTCTATCTCTTTAGAGAATTTTTATCATGTCCTGAATAGTGTTAATTTTTTTGTGTTGATTTTTAACTTTCTCCTGAATCTCATTGAGCAGTTTTATAATCACCCTTTTGAATCTGAACCCACCATAGTGGGTTTTTTTTCTCATGGAAGAAAAAAAGGTAGATTTGTTGTTTGACTAGAATATGTGTCAGTTACTTTAAGGTTTAGAGTGTGGTGGCTTTAGGGTGGTAGGAAATACTAAATGCATAAAACAGGTCCTGAAATGGAGCCAGTTTTTTTTCTTTCATAATTAAGTTGGAGAAGTGAAGTCCAGTGAGATGTATCCAGTTCCCACAACCATTTTTTAAAAAGCTAGTTTTTAATTAAATGTCAAATTCATCTCACTGGTAATAAATTACAAAGTAAAGCATCTGCATGTTTTGTCTCCTCTACCTTAACTCTTATCAGCCCACTTCTTTGGAATTGTTTTATTTTTTTCTGTTTTGTGTTGTAGATATAGGGGAGGAGATAAATAAAAATGGCTGTTCCCAAGAAAAATGGAAACAAGGCTTTGCTGTATAATTCAATTGTTCAGAAATATAGTGTGTCCCAGTGGTGGGAGAAAATGAGTATAGTAGTTACAGTACTCTAGGGCCTTAAAGCATTTTTACCTGTCTCTCAGCTTGGAACCATTGTATTTTAACTATTTGAATTAAAACCAAGTTGGTGTGTTTTCCACAGGATGCATTCAGTTTACTAGCATATTCAGATCCTTGGAACAGCCCAGTTGGAAATCAACTTGACCCAATTCAGAGAGAACCTGTGTGCTCAGCTCTTAACAGTGCAATATTAGGTAAGTAAAACCGAAAAAGGACAACTTCGAGATTCTCTGAGAATTTATGCTGGCATTTACATTTTGGTAAAATGATAAGGGAAATGTTTTCTACATTCTTAAAATATAAAATTACCTAAAATGTAGAAACCTTCCTTCTTTATCTCAGTTCCAGATTACATGTATTCAAATAGAATAAAAACAGCAAAATGGGGTGGAACTTGTGATGTTTGGGAAAAGTTTTTGTGTCCATATATGTAAGCATTTCTGGTAGCCATGTCTGCCTCTTGCCATGTAAAAAAGGTATTTTGGGGTTCTTTTATCTAAATTCAAAATAGTACCCTACCAAAGACACTCCTTAGTTCTCTTTAGTGAAAGGTATTGTCTGCCACCCATTTCTAGGCTGGGAATTAGGGGGTGGCATTCTCGGATATCCTCACCTTGTCTAGACCCTATCTCTTCCTCAAGTACTAGAAAGAAGGATGTGGGCATGGGTGGAAAGGTGGGCAATTGAGGAATCAAGTGTGACCTCGTATCTCCAGGTAAATCAAGGGCTGAGAGTTGTGAAAGTTGCAGACAGTGACGAGAATCTGGATTTGAGCCAGTGAAGGGACTGAAATATAACTGAACAGAGAATAAGTACAAGGGCTTGCTGGCAACATTTGAGAGCCGGGCTGAAAAACAAAAGTATGAATTTATGGTTGTACAGAAACCATCACAGTCAACTACATATTGTGTAGTAGATTGATCAGAACTGGGTTCCTAGTATGGCTGCTTTAGAAGGAACTGGGGGATGTTCATGAAAATAGTCATTAGTCCCAAGAGTGAGGCTAGACGGCAGCAGGGTATACTTGAAAATGGAGAGGTCAGGAAATGGAGGTTTGGGTGCAGCAGGCATAATGAGAATGGAAATAAAGGAGCCAGACCTTCACTGTCTGAGAAGTGTGGACATGGCGGGTCCAGCAGAGGCCAGGATTTCTGACTGCTGCTTGCCTGCTGCCTAATTCCCCGCTTTTTCATGAGGCTCCTCAGTGGGTAGTGCTGGCCTGAGCCATCCGTATCACAACTCCCAGCATGCTTCCATACAGGCACAAGGGGCTTCCAAGTGACTTGTGATATCCCTGCTAGGACCAAGCTTTGGAGAAAACTGTATTTGCGTTTAATTTAACCACATTCAACTATGTGCCCTCACCCAATGTGGTTGAGGAAGAGAAAAGCAATTTAAAAGGTTTTTAGCCAGGGGTGAGCATGAAATAAGAAACTTCAATTTGCTGTTCCTGTGAGCAACTCCCTGCAGAGGTGATTATAGCATTTATGTACGGAATATATACTTTTTATATGAATTCTGTAACTGCACTCATTTTGTGCATTTCTATAGAAACATGATAAGGTTGTTTACATACTATGTTTTAATCTTAGGCAGTTCTCTTCTTTACATCAGAGTGATTTTTCATTTCACTTGAGAACCTTAACTCCCAGGTAAAACGGGACTCTCGTTTGGAAGTCTGTATGGTTTTGGGCTGTCAGGTTCCACATTTCATCTGCTTTTAGAAAGATGAGGGCAGATACACAAAGAGTAACTAAAGAGTAATCCAGAAGACTTGTAATGAAGGCCAGGCATCTTACGGCAGAAACGGAAAGAAAGCAGTGAAAAGCATTCATATTTGGGCCTTCATCTTTTTCTTTGTCCTTAGTTTACTCATTAGTTTATTATTTGTTAAGGATTAACACTGAAGCCTGAGAATAGGAAGAGTATTCTTATTACTGTAGTTTTCTCATATTTAGGATTTGGATGTAATAATGTGAATTTTCCTTGGTTAATGTGTTGTATTTTCTATGGTAAAAATAAAGTAACTTAGTAATAATTCTGGGATTGTAGGGAAATCTTTGGCTTACTATAATTGTCTTTTTGAATTTACTATGCTATAGGTAATCATTAAGACCTAATTGCTAAGTGCTGTTCAATGAGACTTGGAAAAATCTGAAAAGTGACCAATTTTCTTTGAGTTCTTTATTTATTGGGTTCTCCAAGAAACTAGTTAAATATATGTAGTGCTTAATGTTATTATATTATGTATAATTTTAGGTTTCATATGTCCAAAAAACTTAAAGATGCTTATAACCAGATGCTTCTTTAGGTCAAAATAAAATTATAATAATGTACCCTGTAGGTGCTTACCTTTGAGCAATTACTTCCCTGTAAACCTACAAGACACATTTTTAAAAAGATTTTTCCTTTTTGCTGTTAAAAGTCAGTACTTTAATAATCTTAACCCACACACCACTTTTAAACCATACTTTCTCACCAGTCTTTGTGCCTTTTTTGCATACTTTTTTTCTTATATTCTTTTTTTTCCGAGTTGGAGTCTCACTCTGTGGCCCAGACTGGAGTGCAGTGGCCGCTCCCGGCCACCGCAGCCTCGACCTGCTGGGTTCCGGTGATCCTTCCGCCTCAGCCTTCTGAGTAGCTGGAATTACAGGCATGTGCTACCATGCCCGGCTAATTTTTTATTTATTGTAGAGATGAGGTCTCACCAAGTTGCCCAGGTGGGTCTCGAACCCGCGGGCTCAGGCAATTCACTCACCTCAGCCTCCCTAATGCTGTTTTTATTTTCTCTTGTACCTTTAAGTTCTGCTTTGCTTCTTTTTGGTTTTGTGCTTAATTCCTTCTGGAAATTTCCTTTCTTCCAGCATATTGCATCCTCTGAACCAAGAGTGGATTAAACCACATGGAGCCCCTCCGGCCATGTATCACTGTTTTTGTTCTTTGTTGTTAACTATGCCTATGAAAGACTGATCAGTAGTTCTACTAATTGGGAATCCACGTGAAGTCTGGACATTGTCTTCACACACACAGAAATTACCAGCTTCTGAGTTTAGCCGCTTTCATTACTAGTTCATTTTTGCATCTTTGGCAAGCAACAGATTTTGGTCATTACTGTATTTGTACTACAGCTGTCGACAAAGAAACCTGTGATATGTAGGACTCTGAAAATATATTGGCAATTTTTAAAATGTCTGAACCATCTACTATAAACCCCTCAAAAATTTATAGCATGGCTTTGCTCTGTGTTCTCTCATTGTCACCACCACCACCTGCTCCAACAAACTCAAAACATTATGCACCTAATATGTGCCTTGGAAATGGCTAGGCAGCTTCTGTTGAGTCCTATCCACAGAGGTAGAAGAATCCATTAATGGAAACTTGTAATGAAATCCCAGTGCCTCTTCAGTTAATATCAACTTACTTTGGTCAAGTAGAAGAGAAATACTACATATGCCTTACTCTACTCCAAATATCAGATAAGAAGTTTGGTCTTTCCTATCATAGTTAATAGTTTTTGAGTATCTGGTATTTTAAAAGTCTAATTCTGCAAGTTTATCTTACAGTTGAATACCCAATACCAATGCTGCCTTGTCAGTATTATGTCCAAGGCATCCATCATCTGCTTAGAAACTGCCATTGCTACCCTAGGTACTTAAGAGTGGTACAGGTATCAGTAATTTTTTAAGTAATGCAATATTTTCCTGATTGAGACATGTTTTGAAAAATGTTGTGCTAACTGCTGTTTCCGTTTTTAAATCCTCAGAAACCCACAATCTGCCAAAGCAACCTCCACTTGCCCTAGCAATGGGACAGGCCACACAGTGTCTAGGACTGATGGCTCGATCAGGAATTGGATCCTGTGCATTTGCCACAGTGGAAGACTACCTACATTAGCTATGCATTTCAAGAGCTCACACTTATATTGTGGCATATAGTCAACATGGAAGTAGACCAGCTCTGCTGATTTGAAATTTAGATTTTTTAAATTATGTACTGGGGACAGGTTTTTGTCGCTTTACATTGCTTCCTAGTTTACAGCATGATGCAAATGATTTTCTAACTTAGTGTTAGGAGAAATTATTTTCCATCTTTAACCTCTTAGTTGTCTAAGAGTTACAATATTACTGAATTTCAGATGCTCAAAATTGATCATTATGAATCCTTTAAAACAGTTACCTAAAAGAAACCAAAAAATCCTGCCTTCTTTGTGGGGGAGGGAGAAAGGGGAAGGAAATGGAACAAGTTGTGTTTGTGTTAGCATGTGGGTGATGTAAACTTCAAATTGGGAGATGTTCCGACCCCCGCTCCCATATAAGCATTCAATCAGTGTAACTTGCAAAATGCATAAACATCTGACAGTTTGAATTTATAGTGTTGATGGAAGAAATCATTTTTAATGTGTACTGTAAAACTTGAAATACTCAGGAGCTGAGTGAATATGTTTGTTGCTACTTACAATCCCAACCTGTTAGTCCCAGTAGTTCTGTTTTAACATGGTCTTTTTCAACTTTGTTTCCTGTTTAACTACAGATGACTTCTGTTGTAGACTCACAAGTTTAACTGTTGTATTATAACAGTATTACATGTCAACAGTGTGGTTATGACCTTTATTTATATAAAAACCAAATATTTAGTCAATTTACCGTGTCTTAATTTAATCTTTGTACACCTTCCATTTTTAAGTGCTTAAATGAGTACTATATTGCAATAAAAATGTAGTGATATAATTAACCAGCCATTAAAAATTTACTTCTGCAGATACTAGTGTCAATTGAGTTTATATATTAGGTACTTGTATATTTCTTATGATTAACATAAAATCAGAGTAATTTTAATTAATGGTTTCTACTATTAATCTGAGCTCTAAACCTAAAACAGCCTTCAGTTTGTATAGAACCCCCCTGGATTAGAGTCAAACCTGACATTGTGGGTGACACAGAAAGACAACTGGAAATTTATGGCATATGAGACTTGCCAGTCAACCAAATTCCCTCTACACTGGTTGAAAGTAAAATTTTAAAAGCAAGTCAACAGACTAACTGATCCTTTGGCTTAACAAAGTTGTTCATTGACTATATTTTATGCACTGTATCTTCTCTAATAAGAACAGATACTTATCTACACTTAAGACTTTGCACTCTTTCACAATTACTTCTCTGAGTCTCCTTCATTCCCTGAGGAGCATTACAAAGCAATATTCTGTGGGAAAAAAAAATCTCTTCAATAACACAAAACATCTGAGAGCTGTGACTAGAGACTTTTGAGATGTCCATTTCTCCTTTTTCTCCCTACCGTTCCTGCCATATACACCTAGGATGGAGGTAGAAGAGGTGTTGTTGCTGGTATGGGTACCACTTGCCATCTGTTAAATTTATAAAAATAAAAGAACACGATTCCTTTAAACTTTTTCTCCTAGGCCATTCTAAGACTACAAGACACAGCTGTACCCCAGAAGGATGAAATGTGGCTGAGTACTTCCCCAGACAAATATATCTACGATTTTTATAATGACGTTGAAATGATTTATGAATGGTTAGCTTTTTTTAGAGAAATTAATCCTCTAGATGACTGAATTCTATATGATTCTATACATACAAAGTACAGATTCTTCATTTAGCTTTGATTTACTTCTTAGTAGTTTTCATCTTTCTGACCATCCACCGTCTTTTAAACCTTTTGGCATTTTGTTTTTTCTGGGTTCCTAGAATACAAAGTTTTATATGCAGTAAGACTATTAGAGATATAAAATGGTCAAGAACTTTATCATATAATTAAAAATAGTTTTTCACAGTTCTCTCTATATGAATGAAAATACTAAAACTGGGTCTATTATACATTTAGATATGTATTATCTACCATACATTAGTATGTGTGTATATACACATATATATACACTAACTTTTTTTAGAAGCAACTTATGACTATTCACATATAAGCCATTATAAGGGAAAAACTGTAATTATGAACTATCTCCTTCAAAAGAACATTATTTAAAATATAGAGCTATCAGAGATAAGAGAATAAAGCTGGACCTTACCCCAAGCATTATTCAAAAACTGGACTGCAGCCTTTTTCACTGGTAACCTCTTGTTAGCAAGAGACAGGAACTTATTTACTGGAAAAGATAATTACTTATCATCTATTTGTTTTATTTGCACTAAAAACTGAGAAAAATGGCCCATAAGAAAATTACCAGTAGTTCTGTTGGTTCCTGGACCATACAAAGAATCACGTATGAAGGCCTGGGCCGCCTGTTGCCTCGAATCTCTCAGATCTTGGTCTTTTAGCCTGACAGCCAAGTAGCTTCTATTCTGGCTGGTGATCAATACAAAAGGTCAAAATAAACAAGGATGATACAAGATTACTTTCAAAATAAAGCATTTTTGTCAGGTGTCTCATAATGATACATGAAATTCTAATTTTGTATAACAGCAATAAAACTAAATTACAGAGCTATTTTACAAGAAATAAACTAACATTCACATTTTAGTAGAGCAAGTAAATGTTTTATTTTTGGATCAATTGAACAATCTGTCTCTTGGATATATTCAATTAAGAACTTGTCCCTGGATATTTATACTAAAATATACTAAAAGCAAGTCTATTCGTTAACAGGAAATTGTCCTGGTATATGTAGTAAAAGGGAATTAAAAGCATTACTTCCAAATTGTGACACATAAATTCAGCTAAATAGGAGTCCAACATATGACAATCTCCTCTCATGGTCTTATTTACACTTTGTCTTACATCTGTTTTTACATTTTATTCTGTGGCTAAAACAGGATTAGTTGATTTGCAAGTAATGGCCTGGACCACCAAGCTACACTGGATGCAGTTCAAAGTAATTCTTGCATATTTTGAGACAAATTGTAGATATCAAGCAAAGAATGGGCTTTGGCCATTCAGGGGTACCAATAACTACTTCCTTCCAATTTTATAGACCATAATAGAATATGAAGCCACATTTTCAGGGAAATGAGAAACGTTTTCTTCCTTTAAAGCAAGACCCATGGTGATATGCAACTGTGGTGAACACAGTTTGAGTAATAGCCACCTTGGCATAGGCATTGTATTATCCACCATAAGGGTTGATAATATGAGGAACATCAGGAGCTATGGATAACAAATGACATGGCTTCAAGATGTCCCTGGTTGGTGGGTTTGATGCACTGGTAAAAGATTGCAGTGCATCCTGACATAAACATCTGTCCACTGGGAGAGGTGAAATGAAAATTTTCTCAAAAATGAAACCACTAAAAAATTTCGAATCTGGCCCAAAAGGTTGTTCAAAATAGGACTTTGACCTCCAATGACAAATCGTCCAGTTGATCCTTATTTATTATTGTCAAAACTTATTTTTCCAAAAGAGCTAATCTGAAATTGCTACTAATTAAAAAATTTTCCCACAGACAACCCCTTTGGGTCCCTTCCCACTGTGGGAGCTTTCCTATTCTCCCAATAAATCCTGCTTTCCCCCCAAAGGAAAAAAAAAAAATATATATATATATATAATTCCCCCCACACAAGCCAACACTTTTACTCTCTCAAAGGACACTTTTACATCCCATATGAAAAAAAAAACCTCATTACCTGACAGACTGTACTTTTTGAACTTTAACTTTCTTGGAGTCACTTCCTTTTTCACATTCTTCATTTTTCTTTTGCAAATTAACTAAAAAATTAAGTTACATTTTCTAGTTAGCATTTCTGTAAAAATAAGTCAGAAACTTACTGCAGTTCACTTTAAATATCTCTTACATAGCAATTTGGGTGCAGTTTTTATTTGTTAGAAATAAATGGAATAGGTTCCAGCTAACCTTGGCCAGGCTTATGCCCATGCTCTCTAAGGGCCAAAAATACTTGACTGGAAATATCTGCAAATTCACTTGACACTTGCATGAAAAGTGATTTAAATGAGAACAGTTCATACCTTCTCTCAACTTTCCTGGTGATTTCTTTATGCTAAGGAAAAAAAAAACATTGTAATGGCAGATAGTGAAGGTTACTCAAAATATAAACATGTTCCACTATTTCACCTGGTTTTACAAATAACATACCCCTCTTTCACTACTACCACCTCAGTTCTTACTCAGGATCTTTCTCAGTTTGGGAAATCAAAAGTTATTCCCCCATGCACTGCCAGTCAACAAACTAGTGTTACTAGGATTGGAGTATCTTTGAAATATAAATCTGAAAGCATTACGGCAGGCTTCCAAAGCACCAGGATGCTATGGGTAACAGAGTTAAAGAGAAATACTTAAAGAGTTAAAGTGAAAGAACATGTTGTTATATACAGTATGCAAAACATGGAGTGAATGGTGGTAGGTCTGCCTCATTTTACTTGGTGAAATTACAAAGGATTAATTCAACAGTTTAGGCATAGGAGACAAGGAGCTGCCTCAGGGGGTCTGTGGTCCACTGGAGAGACAAATGTAAAGTGACAAAACATAAGAATACAGAATACAACAAAGAAGCACTTACACAGTAGCACAAAGGAGGAAGTGATGAGAGAAAGTGGGGGGCTAAATGAGAAGGTAGAGGTGACATTTTAGCTTCGTTTTTAAAGATGAAAGAGAATTTGCCACCAAATAGATTTGTTTAATGTATTCAAGATCTGAGTCACTCTTTGGAAAAGTTCTTTTTCTGAAAATTTGAGAAACAATGGCTTAGGTAAAAGATGGGGCTAAATGTCCAAACTTAAAGCATTAAGGGGAGAAAAGGAGGATAGGAAAAAATAATGTAGAAGGCTAAATTTAGTAAGGTTTGATTCCACAGGGAGATTATAGCTTTTGGCTTTTAAACCATAAAACACCAAAGGTGCTAAATGTGAAATGGAGAACAAGAAGGAACAGGTTAGTGGCAGGTAAAGCAAGTATGAGACAAGTTTTAGGAGCCTATGGATAACTGTCTGCTATCCCACTAAATGATACATTTTTTTTTGAAGTTGATGTTGTACTAGCTACGAGATACATTTCGAAACACTTATTCACTACCATCTACTCTGTCCCTAGTACCAAGATGGGCACTAACAAAATGTACAGAATGAACACACTAATATCAGGAATTCAGAAACATGTTACCTACGGGAATAAACAAAATAAGTAGCCAAAGAATAAAAAGTGGAATACTTCCATCTTTCCCACCAAATTCAAATACCAAGGTAGTTTTTTAATGTAGGCTCTAATTCCTTCAATTACACAGATTCAAATAAATGTACCAGTACGTCATTCACAGAAGGGTGTGAGACATATAGGAAAATTCATTACTTACTCAGTCTGTGCAGCTGTAGTTAACTTCTCTAAAACAGTGTCTGGAAGAAGTTTTCTTTTCTTTTGGAATAAAGATGATTAAAAGTAAAAAATGATGTACACACATAAGGATATGTCCGGAGTTGCTTCCGAAGTGACCGAGGCAAATAAGCGACTTAGACTGCTTACTGCCCCTACTATCTCTAAGCTGTGGGAAGCCTGGGTCCACAAAACTGAGGACCCATTCCACATTCTCTGGAAGACCTGGCGGAAAGGGCGCCCACGGGATGCCAGCCCTCAGGTCACTGAAAGCAGTTAATACCCACTGGGAGTCAGCTCTCTATGGTGAGCGTGCCAGACATCAGACAGCAAGGCAGTCATTCTCTGTATAGCTCTTGGTTGACAAATTGCCTCCTTTAGTTCGCACAGCAGCCCAGTTTCAGATAAGCTACTTCCGCAAGGCTAAATAACTAAGTAAGGTGTCACGGCCAGCGGAGTGGCAGAGCTGGGACTACAACCCCCGTAATTTCAGACTTCCTTTTCCCACTCCCATTTTCAACTGGGGGGCAGGAGAAAGGGTTGGAGCATCTTTCTTTTCACTACTGACAGAAGACACATCAGTGACTTTTCCCCACTTCAATATCCTACCAGCCCAAACAGCATCAAACATGGGAATCCTACCCCGAACAGGAGGTTTTCAGAAAGAGACGCTTCCCTACCCTCTAACCTTTTGCTCGATGAACAGCTCTTCGCGTCGCTTCCTCTTCTCCTTCAGAAGCGCTTTATCCCTGGGAGGAAGGGTGACAGGTCAGTGCGGGGAGGGACAAACGGGAGGAAAGAGGCACTTCTCCGCGCCCGGCCGCGGGCCCCGAACCTGCGGACGGTCTCCCGCACTCGCCGCTCCTCTTCTTTCGCTTCCGCCTGGGCGCTGGCGAAAGTCAGCTCCTCCGGGGCCTCGTCAAACTCATCGTCCCCTTCCTCGTCTTCCTCCAGCGGCTCGGCGGCCGCGCCGCTGCTAGGCTGTCCGAGCAACAGACCGTGCTCCGCCTCCTCTTCCGAAGCCGGCTGGCCCTCGTCCACCATTGCCTCCGCCGACGCCGGGGTGCGGGACGCACGCGGCCGGAGCTGCACCATGGCCCACGCAGACCCCGACCGTCTGACCTCTGACCCGGAAGCAGTCGCCAGCGGCGCGCAACGTGAAGGAGCAAGTGACGCGAGCTTTCGCCGCCCCCTGTAGGTTCGGAGGGGCGGGCGATGGGGGAGGCGCATGCGCAGAGCCAGGGGGCGTGGCCTCAGCGTCAGGGGTGTTTCTTTGTACCTGGCCCTGGAATACCACGGGCTGGAGGCAGCGCGGGAGCCCGGTGAGCTTCCGCGGACGCGCTTCGCCTGCGAAAGTGGCTGGCAGTGGGGCTGGCTTCCAGGCGGGGAAGGTCCGTCGTGCTGCTCTGCTCGGCTACGGGCTGTCCGGTGCCCAGACCCCGGTGGCCGCGGGCCCTGGCGGCCGCGCGGCTGCTTTGGGTCCTGGGTTCCGCTTTTTGGACCCAGTTGGCCGATGTCTGCAGATTCGGCCGCGTTCACTCCACGCTCGCCGGGAACGTGGAGTTTCACGGGAAGAAACGCGCCGTCGCGGGCGGGCCCCGCTGCCACCCGCGACGAGGACCACGGCGCCCGGCCT